GATTGGTATTCAGGTAGCTCCGACATATGAGAGTCAAGTTGTTCTTCAGATGTTTGTTGTGTTTGCTTTGGGTGTGGCGGCTCACCGAAAAAATATCGGGATTGCCGGCCGCGCTAGTCGACATCATAGGCAGTTAGCCCCCCAAAGTTCGAGACCCTGCCGCCCTCGTCCCCGCGAGCCTTTGCTTTTCGTCGCACCCGCGCGTCCCATTGCACGCTGCAAGATGCGCAGATGATGCCCCCATCTTTATCCTTTCCTTCGCTACTGAAGAGAGCGGCTCCCTTGCCGTGGACGTGCCGGGCCTGCCTCCGCCAACAACAGCCTCTGCGCCAGCGATTCGCCCATGCGACTGCCCGCCGTGCGCCCAAGCCGACGAGCCGGCGGCGCATACTGCTTGCCACGGCCACTGGCGGCGGAGTCGCCGCGACGGTTGTGGCGCTGAACGACGATGCGAAGCACGCAGCAATCGCCGTCCCGCGCATAAGCAGAGTGGTCGGTACTCTCTTCCTGAACATCAATGAGTAGGCTCCTCGAATGCTCCGCTGTCCTTCGTGGCTGACCTCCGGCCGTCTTGCAGCTACCGGGTTACTCTCAAGAATGACGAAAACGATCCCGACTACGCCGAGCTGCTCAAGGCATGCCACAAACGCTGCGCCGAGAGGACACTGGTCACGCTGGAGAAGAGCGGCGGAATGTTCATTAAACTGGGCCAGCATCTGAGCAGCATGAACTACCTGCTCCCGAGCGAGTGGTGCGATACTTTTATCCCGCTGCAGGACAAATGCCCGGTTTCGTCATACGAATCGATCGAGAAGATGGTGCTGCTGGATACCGGGAAGTCCATCACGGACATGTTCTCCGAGTTTGATCCCGAGCCTATAGGCGCTGCTTCGCTGGCTCAAGTGCACCGGGCTGTGGTGCGAGAGACGGGGCAAAAGGTGGCGGTCAAGGTGCAGCATCCGATGCTGGACGAGTGGGCGCCGCTCGACCTGGTTCTCACGCGGTTTACCTTTGCGACGCTGAAACGCTTCTTCCCGGACTATGACCTTACCTGGCTCTCGCGGGAGTTGGACATCTCGCTGCCGCAGGAGTTGGACTTCCGCCGCGAGGGCGAGAACGCCACGCGTGCCAAGAAGTACTTTGCCCCGATCAAGGAGCTGCCCGTGGTCATCCCCGAAGTGCTGTATGCGCAGCGCCGCTTCTTGATTATGGAATATGTGTCTGGCGCCCGTCCGGATAACCTGGCGTACCTGGACGAGCACGGCATCGACCGCGACGAAGTGTCGGCTGCCCTGGCCCGCATCTTCAACCAGATGATCTTCGGCACGAACGCGCCTCTGCACTGCGATCCGCACGGCGGCAACCTAGCCATCAAGCACAACCCCAACCGGCGCGGCAAAGGCAACTTCGACGTGATCCTCTACGACCACGGCCTCTACCGCGACATACCGATGGGGCTGCGGCGGTCGTACGCCAAGCTCTGGCTGGCGGTCCTGGACGCCGACGAGCCCAAGATGCGCAAGTACGCCAAGGAAGTCGCGGGCATCACGGACGAGTACTTTCCGCTGTTCGCGAGCGCCATCACCGGCCGCGACTACACGGTCGTGCGGTCGGGCGTTGACAAGCCCCGTAGCGCGGCCGAGAAAGAGGCGCTTTCGGATGCGCTGGGCGACGGCATGCTGCAGCAGCTCGTGCAGCTGCTCAGCCAGGTCCCGCGGGTTATTCTGCTGATCTTGAAAACCAATGACTTGAGTACGTTGTGCACTTCCCTCCCTCTCCCCAACACACACACACACACATCCAAACAACCCCTCACTAACCCTCCAACCACACCAGCGCGCTCGCTCGACGAGAACCTCCAAACCCGCCAAGGCCCGATCCGCACCTTCCTGATCCTGGCCCGCTACGCCGCGCGCGCCGTCTACGAAGAGCAGACGGAGGCGCTGCGCGGGGCCGGCAGCCTGCTCTGGCCGAGCAATCTGGCGCGTTTTGTGTATGCGTGGGCGGCGTACGTGCGCGTCGATCTCAAGCTGGGCGTTTATGAGTGGTATGTTGGGCTGCGGAGGATGTGCGGGTTGCAGCCGCTTATTTAGTGTGTTGTGTGTATGAAGGAGAGGGGGAAGGGAGGAGGTGGGAAGAGGTGCGGGAAGGGGTTGGTTGGTTGAGTGTGTGTGTGTATATGCATTAGCATAGCCGGGCGTTGTTTTTATGTTGAGTGTTTGGCTGTTTGTTTGTTCAACTAGAGAGACACGACCTTAGACGTGCTTGCTTCAGATAGCGTAGACAGGTTGCATTTTGCATTTTGCATATTGCATTGCATTGCGCATCGTTTGCTTGTTTGCTTGTTTGCTTGTTCGCTTGCTTATTCGCTCTGCATATTCAAAAAGACTGAGACAGATAGAGGTGCATTGTTCATCATCATCATCATCATCAGCAGCAGCGTAGACTTGGTTGCTTGTTTATTTGTCTGCTTACTTACTTGCTCGCTAATAGTCTACTATCTGATAGGTTTCTGTCGTTGTACTCCTGGTGTCTGTTTATCTAGCTGTGCCCGTTTCTGACCCTCGTAAACCGACGCCGCCTATTTAGTTTGTACAACAGATGGACGAACAAACGTAATTTACGCGTATAAGTATTTTTATGTTCAGTATTCTAGCACGCCTGGTTATAGATATACAGTAGCTTTTATCTGAGGAGTGGAGAGGTCGCGCATGCTGGGTCCGTGTGTTGTTGTCTCTTTCTTCTTCTTTTCTGTGTGCGTAAAGCTAGAGCTAGAGTTGCTTCGTTGATACTATATGTATGTAAGCTGGGCTTAATGGGTGCTGTTGGTTGGTTGGTTGGTTGGGTGGGCTGTTGCAAGTTGTGTGTGATGGATGGATGGATGGATGGATATATTTAGGAATGGAATACTGTGGCCTGTCGGGCTGTGGATTTGTATCTAGTGTCGAATGCACTGCAGTGTTGGTGATATGGCTGTGTATGGAGACGTATACGTTGACAACAAAGATTATTCCACCCCTCGAGTATGAGTAGTAGTACCCAGCACACAATTCACGCAATTCACGTACACACACACACACACACACACACACACACACACACACACAAGCAACCAAGCAAGCAGTACAGTCTTCGTTTAATTATGCGTACATAAGCCCTCGCCAAAAGGCAGGGAGGCGCCTCATCAAAGCCCCGAAACTAGAAAGGTGGGGGAAAAGAGGAGCAATTACTCGTCAAGTCATGACACGGCAAAAATCATGCGGCTCTCAGCGGTGTAGAAGCGCGCTTAAGAGAAGGGGTTGGTGCGGGTGCCCCAGTAGGTGAGGAAGACGGAGAGGCCGACAGTCTCGAGCAGGCGCGCGACGGTGCCGACGGCGATGGTGTCGAGCGGGCGCTTCTCGGTGACGAGCTGCGAGACGACCTTGGAGGAAAAGTCAGCACGGAGGCAAACGAAAGAAGAGGTGATAGATAGGTAGTAGGGGGACATACAGAGGGAGCAGCGCTAGCGAAGAAGATCAGAGAGCCCAGGTAGGCAGCGCCCTTGTAGGAGAGGGTGCCGGTGGCGTTGATGAGGGCGCCGACGCCGTAGGCCTGCAGGGCCGAGCCCGCGAGGCTGCTGCCCCACGACGCAGCGGCCGTAGCGGCCTCCTTCGACTTGAAGAACTCCTCCTTTGAGTTCGCGGCCTGCGCTTGCCGGTACGACTCGCCGAAGACGGGCGCGAGCACGCCCAGCGACACGACGTGGTTGTAGACGGTGCCGAGGGCGACGGCCGAGGGCTTGACGGGGGGAAGGTCTACGGGGGGCGTTGCGTTAGTCTATCGTGACTTTGTCGTGGTGTTGACAGGGTGAGGTGAAGTGCGCGTCCACACGGGTGTGCGCGGACGTTGCCATTGCGGTGGTGGGCAGGGAGGGAGAGCTTACAGTGAAGAGTGGCCATTGTGATGGAAGAGGTTGGGTTGTTAGAGCAAAGGGATCGAGAGATGCGATTGATGAGAAAGGCGGATGGATGAGAGCGATGAAAAGATGAATAGAGAAAGGAAAAGCTCCAACCCGGGCGGCCGGCGGCGCGTCTTTATGAGGGCTGAGGTTGCGATGACGACAGTTCGAGGCAGCGGCGCTAGCGGCCAACCTGCCACAACAACCATGATGGATGCGTCGAGCCGCCGCCCACTCCCCACACGCATCATCTCCTCCCTACGGATACTGTGTGCCTTACTCCACTCGCATCGCAATCCGGGCCTGCCTCCCTGGCCTCGCCATCGCAATTTGCCCGCTTTGCCATGATGCACGCATGCATGGGTCCGCTTCTACCCGCCCAACGCCCTCCTTCATCAACGTCATCGCCCGTGGCTGGTGCCGGGCGTGGAAGGGAGCTTGGGTCTCCTCTCCTCTATTCATTCATTCATTCATTCCCTTGCGCCATCACGCCTTTGTAGTCTCCGTGTGTATGCACATGGCCTTGCTACATACACATACATGTGGAGCCAGCGCGCACACACACGCACACACGCACACGCACGCTCACAGCCACAGCCCGCGCGTGCGTGCATTGCAGAACAGAGAAGCGTTGGTGCGGCCTGGGCGGACCTGTGGGGGATCGTCCGCGCCCGTGCGAGTTGCGTGCGTGCGTGCGTGCGTGTGTGGCTGGTGTATGCGGCGGCGTTCCAGGGCAGGCGATCGTGCACGTCACTTGACGCAACCGCGCTGTCACTTTTGTCCATGTGTGTTTGAGGTTTTCCATCTCTTGCTTGGAAGAAGCAGGCTGAGGCTTCGAGAATTTTCTGCCCCGTGCTGCTGGTCCGAGTACTCGTACGAACAATGCACTTTCTTGCTGCTTTGTCTTGCCACTGTCCTTGCAACTTGGACTTGGCTACCATGGAATTGACGGCCTAACTAATGCGCGAGGTCTCGAGGTGCATACTCCATACTCCTACTATCCCTACATACTCCGCCAGCCTAACCACCTATACACTATGTAATCGTAGATATTCTAATAGACGCACAAACAAGCCACCACCACACTTCCAACTTCTGCCTCCCAAACCCCTCAACCACCCATACATAGGTACTCCCAGGAGCAGGAGTGCCGTACCGTACCGTAGATCCCGCCACCCAGCCCCCTACCCCCCAAGCCCCAAACCCGAGTCTGGATCCAGATGTCCTATGTAGCAAACGACCGGCCGCGTACCTGCAGCGAGCGGAAGCGGGCGCATCCGCATCCGCATCCGCATCCGCACAGCCCCATCCCATAGAACTTGAGCCATCCCACCACTCCCTCCCCTTCTTCCCTACTTTCCTTTCCACTTCCACTTTCCTTCCCACTTCCACTCCCAAGCCAGACACCTACGCCTAAAACGCACATACATGCATACAGACATACATACATAACCACCCACCAACCAACGCACGCAATAAAAGCCGCATCGCGTGGTTTTGGTGTACCTTTTTACGCTGCTGTTTCTTTCCTCCCCTTCCCTTCTCTTCTCATCATCTTCGTTTTCAGCTAAATCCTACTACCCACTCACCCGGATACACAACACACACACATACAAACATACAACACACATACATACACACAAACACACTTCACCCTTATGTAGCAGGCAGGAAAGCACGACGCCACTGGACCCACTGACTGATTCTGATTCATCACCACGAAGAACAAGAATAAAAACAAGAACAAGAACAAGAACAAGAAGAGAAGAAGACACACACACACAACACATCTAACTATCAGCTATCAACCAACCTATCAACCAACCAACCTACGCACACACGCACGCGCCAAGCCCCCAAACCCACCCAATTAACCAACCAACCCCCTAACCCAAACCAATCTACCAACCAAGTCCCATCTAGCACCAAAGAAGAAGAAGAAGCAGCAAGAAGAAGAAGAACTAAAAACGCCAGTCTCGTGCCGACCGATCCAATGGCACTTATCCGCCGTACCGAAACTTAAACCCTGTGTCCTGGATCCTGGATCCTGGGTCCTGTATCCATTCAGCTGGCCAGGTAAGTGGAAGCAAGAACGCAAGAAAATCAAACAAACGCCACGAATGCCGGGCAGGGCAGGCACTCAGCAAAGGCACTCCCAAGGACCCAGGTAGGTAGGGACCTAGGTAGGCAGACGCACGCGAATCTCGACGCGCGCGAGCGCCCTCGCACCGCCCGACAAGCAAAACAAGCCACCACCAAGGAAGTAAATCACCCCACCCCACCCAAGCCAAGCCATCAATCACAGCCTGCCCACGCGCGCCCTGTCCCTCTCCCTCTCCCTCTCCCTATCAGCAACAGCAACGCCCTCGCCCCTCCTCCGCTCGCGCTCCAACTCCCTCTCCCGCCGCCGCATCCTTACCGCCTCCCTCCTCTCGCCGTCCCTGCTCTCCCGCTCCCTCCGTCTCCTAGCGCCCTGCTCCAGCCGCGCCGCCGCCGAAGCCGCCCGCCGCTCATCCAGCGCCCGCACCCGCTGGTCCACGCGGCGCATCGCCGACCGCATGTTCGCGAGGTTGCGGTCCAGGCGCGAAAAGTACTCCTGGCGGCCAGCGGCCGTAGCCAGCAGGCCCGCCTGGTTGTAGAGCTGCATTTGCGTGGGCGAGAGCGCCGAGGGCGTCGATCCTGCTTCCGGTCCCGGTCCCACGCTCGTGTTTGCAGACGAGGCCGATGTGGGCGTCGGCGCCGCATCGCCACGCGGCGGTGGGCCCTCGGGCGCCCGCATGTGCACGTGCTGCATCCGCGGACTAGCTGCTGCGGGCGCGTCGGCCGGCGCCGGCGACGATGCCCGCTCCACCGAGTAGATCAGCTCTGGTAGCGTCGCGAGTGGCACGTGCTGCCCCAGGAACTCAAACACTAGGTCCATCTCATCTGGCGAGAAATGCTCCGCGTTCGGCTGGTACCGCTCCGCTGGTGGCACATCGGCGGCCGTGGCGCGGGGTGCTGCATTCGGTGTTGTCGATGAAGGCCGCCCAAGCGCGTAGTAGTTGCGCACCATGTTTGTGGCTTCGCGCGAGCGCGAGCGCACGCTGGATGAGTAGCGCAGGGGATCTCTGGCCGGTGGACCGTCGGTAGGGGCAGAAGCGGCAGCAGTAGCAGCAGCAGCCGCCCGCGCATCAACCTCGCCCTCGTCGTCGTCTTCCGGGAACGGGCCCTCAATGTCCCACGGACCGGTACGGGCGCTGTGGAGCAGAGGCTGGAGAGCGCTGGGCATGCCGTCCTCGTTGTCCGAGGCCGCGTTGCCCTCGTCCTCGGTGTCGCAGCCGGCGGCGGGGAGAGGCGCAGAAAGCTCCTCGGCGCTCTGGCCACGCGAAGGCACAGTGAGGTTGGTGTGCGAAGAGCCGGCAGAGGCAGAGCGATCAGAGCCAGAGCCGGGCTCTACGGTCGAGTTGGAGGCCGAAAACGAGGCCGATGCTGCCGCCGACGTAAACGACGAGTCGGCCGTCGGGAGCCTCTCGTCCGGGGCGATGGTGCTGAGCATCGTGTCCCAGTGGTCCGAGTTTGGGGGGCTGACGCTGCGATCGCGGTCGCCGAGGCCATCGATGGCGGGGCTCCAGGACTCGCGCAGCGAGCTGGCCGGCAGTGGGCCGTCGGGGACGGGTGGTCTGCTGCTGCGCGTGCGCCGCAGGGTCAGCAAAGGGTCTTCGCCGGCCTCTGCGTCGCCAAATGAAGGGAACCCAGGCGAGGCCCTGCGCGGTGGTGGCGGCGGCGGCTGCCTCGAAGGCGGCCACGCGCTCATCAGCTCCACGTCTCTGGTGAGGCGGCCCACGCGGCTGCGGAGCTCGCCCTCGCGCCGGCGTAGGTCGTGTAGGCGTAGCTCTCTCCAGGAGAAGCTGTCGGGCGCGGCGGCGGCATCATCAGGCGCGCGCGAGAAGGGGGTCGCGCGAGCGTGAAAGACCAGGCGGTCGGGGGCGTTGGAGCTGGCGTAGAGGAGGACGCCTCCCTCGTCGGGGCGAGTGGTGGTGTGGGCGTGGCTGTGGTGATGGTGATGGTGGTGGTGGTGATGTGGGTGCGGGTTGGGGGCCGTCGGGGGGCCGTCGCGGTCGGAATCGGTGCCATAGCCCAGGAAGGCGTGAAGGTCAAAGGCTTGATCGGCGGCGGAGTTGCGGGCGCGGCGCGGGTTCCCGTCGTCGGCCGGCCGGATTCGGCGCAGCGTGATGCGACGCGACGGGGCTGGAGAGCGACGGCGGCGGATGGGCGAGCGTGTCGCAGCGACCTTGCAGTCCGCGGGGGACGGGGCGCGCCAGACTCTGCGGGACAGACACGGTCAGCGTCAGCAAATCATGGAGAGGTGCAAATCTGGGGTGAGGCTGAAGGGCCAACGGCGCGCGACAAGACGCGTGGGCTGGCCAACGGCGCGCAATCATGACTTACGGAAGACCCATGACAGTGAGCGGGAGGAAGGATGCAGACAGACGGAGGGCGCGACAGGTGGGAGTGGATGGAGTAAGATAGGTGTTGCTGCAGCAGCTGGGACTGGGGACTGGGGACTGGGGACTTGTGTCGCCCAGCCCCAAACAGCCCTGTAGGTACCAAGCACTAAACCCTACCCGGCAGTCATTCACAACACCTACCAACCACCACAACATTCCACTATAAAAATAAATGATCGAGCTGGGCCTGGCGCGCATCGCCCGCCTGCTGGCCCCCGCCGGCCCGCTGCCCTGGCGCGCCATCCACGTCGCCGGCACCAACGGCAAAGGCTCCATCTGCGCCGCCGCATCCGCCATGCTGCAAGCCCAAGGCGTGTCGCACGGCCGCTTCACCTCACCACACCTGGTCGAGCGATGGGACTGCATCAACATCGACGCGCAGCCCGTGGCCGAAGCCCTGTTCCTCGACGCCGAGGCCCACGTCCTGCGCCGCAACGAGCGCGACCGCATCGGCGCCACCGAGTTCGAGCTCCTAACCGCCACGGCGTTTGAGCTGTTCACGCGCGCCCGCGTCGCCGTCGCCGTCATCGAGACGGGCCTCGGCGGCCGCCTGGACGCGACAAACGTCCTCGAGAGCCCCCTCGTCACCGTCATTGCCAACATCGGCCTCGACCACCAGGCCCTCCTCGGCGACTCGCTCGAGGCCATCGCCGCCGAAAAGGCCGGCATCCTCAAGCCCGGCTGCCCCGTCGTCCTCGACGCCGCAAACCCCCCGGAAGTGCTGCGCGTCGTGCGCGCCCGCGCCGCCCAAATCCACGCCGGCCCCGTCGTCGAAGTCGCCGCTTTGCCCCCCGTCCCGGTCCCGGCCGACAACAACCACGACTATTCCTACTACCGCAGCTTCCTCGCCGCCCGCCCCTACGCCCCCCACGAACTGCGCAACCTGGCCCTCGCCTACCGCGCGACCCTCCTCGCCCTATCGGCACTCCCCCACCCCATCGTCCCCAACCCCCCACTCTCCCTCTTCCGCAACCTCTCCCCCAGCAGCACCGTCCTCCCCGGCCGCCTCCAACCCATCTGCCTCCAAGCCATCGCGCCGCACCGCACCGCCCCCGCCCTCCTCGACGGCGCGCACAACGCCGACAGCGCCGCCGCGCTCGCCGCCCACGTAGACGCGCACCTCCGCCCCACCTCCCCCTCCGGAAGCGTGACATGGCTGCTCGCGTCGTCGCGCCGCGGCGCGCTGCTCACCCCGCTCCTCGCCCCGCTGCTCCGCCCCGCTGACCGCGTCGTTGCCGTCCAGTTTGGTGCCGTGGCGGGCATGCCCTGGGTGCGTGCCACGCCGGGCGAGGAAATCCTCGTTGCGGCCGAGGCTGCCGCTGGTGATAAGGCGGGTTCACTGTCCCAAACAATCGACAGCGGCGCAGACGTCGCGGCCGCCGTGCGGACTGCGGCGGAGCTAGCGGGGGAGGCGGGCCCGCTCGTCGTGGCAGGGAGTCTGTATCTGGTTGGGGAGGTGGTGGGGCTGTTAAGGAAGGGAGAAGAAGGGGGCTAGGTAGGGAGGTGGGGGTGAGGGGGAGGGAGGGCGGAGGGAGGTAAGTTGGGCGTGTTTTTATTTAAGGTGTTTTTTATATATATATTGTGGATGATATGACGTGGCTTGCCATATAACACGTACGCACACAGGGAGAGGGAGAAAGAAATAGGGAGAGGGAGAGCAAAATAAATACGAAAATAAAACAAATAAATGAATAAATAGTCACATAACCAAGCCACCAACCATGGAATCTTCATTTAATAACGGCCCAACAGCCAGCCAGCCAGACGACAGAAATCTATTACCTACCTACCTACCAACTCTAACACGCACACACAAACATACCTATCCACATACACACTCAACTACACGCCTATCAAGCCTTGACCGCCTCCCCCCTCTCATCCACCAAATGCTCCAGCACACTAATCGGCCCCTCGCCCACGCCTGTCAAAATCACCCTACCGACGCCCTCCCTCAGCGCCTCCGCCGTCTTCTCATCCACGCACGCCGCGGCCTTTTCGTCCGCCGCGACCGCCTCGCCCCGCGCGCCGCTCCACCCCTCCGTCCCGGCCAGGACGGCCTTGAACGCGCCCGCGACCGCCGCCTCGTGCTCAGCGGCGTAGTAGACGACGGCGTTGGGGCCGGCGTCGAACGTGTACGCCGCGACCGTCTTGCCCGCGGCGGCGTTGATGGCCTCGACGGCGCGCACCGCCGCGCGCGACACGTCGTTCATGTAGAAGATGGGCGGCGACGTGTCGAGGCAGCAGGCGTGGAACGAGTTGCTGTCCTTCATGGTGAGGTCGGCGAAGGCGGCAAAGTCCTTGGCTTTGATTGCGGATGCCATGTCGCGCATGCGGGCGGGGACGGTGTCGTTGGCGCGCGCGGCGAAGAGCGACGACGTCGCGACCGTGGCCTGCATGCCCGTCGTGCTGCTGACGCCCTTCTTGGCGGCCGACACGACGAGGATCAGCGCGCGCATGTCGGGCCAGTGCGACGCGGGCGCGACCTCGTAGGCCAGCGAGTCGGAGCCGTCGGCCGCGGTGCCCTTCTCCCAGGCGACGTAGCCGCCGAACAGGCTGCGGCAGGCGGAGCCGGAGCCCTGGCGCGCGATGCGCGAGAGCTCCGTCGGCGTCGCGGGCAGCTGGTAGAGGTCTGCGATGGCGCGCACGAGGGCGGCGAAGCCCGCCGCCGAGCTGGCAAGCCCCGCCGCCGTGGGGAAGTTGTTCTCTGACACGATGCGCAGCGGCTGCTGCGCCAGCTTGGGGAGCTGGGGGTCCTGCGCCTCGAGCGCCTCGCGCAGGGCCCGTAGCTCGCGGAAGCAGGCTTGCGTGCGCGCGCCGCTCACGTCTTGCGCCGCCCCGTTCAGGAGCAGGGTGTCTTGGCCGGCGGGGAAGAGGGTCGAGCACGCGGCGGTGGTGTGGGTGCGCAGGTCGGACTGGGCGAGCGTGACGGAGAGGGAGGAGTTGGTTGGGAGGTTGAGCTTGGGGTCGCGCTTGCCCCAGTATCTGGGATTGGGTCAATGGGTGTTTGTTTGGGTGGGAATGTGGGAGTGCGGGGCATACGTACTTGATGACGGCAATGTTGACGGGCGCGGTGGTGCTGGCGCGGTAGACAGTAGAGTCGGCCATTTTTGCTGGTGGGATGACAGTCTGCGAGGAATTGAGTGAGTACAAGTAGTTGTTGAGGAACCCGTGCGGCTGAGAGTAGGAACGCTGACAGAGAGTGAGTAAGATCCAAGGCACTCGGGGGTTGATCGCAAAGGGGGGCCTGCCGAAAGCGGTGAGCACCACCAGGGTCCCACGCAAGCACGCTCCCACCAAGCTTGGCATCCAAGCTTAATTCTGCGGCACCATCGGCATCATCATCATTCCTCTTTCCTGCACCATGGGCGCCAACCTCAGCATCCCCGCCCCGGCCGATGCTGCTGCTTGTCCCGTAGACCCCAAGGCGCGTGCCGCCTGGCTGGCTCAGCAACAGCAGCAGCAACAAGCCGAGGACAAATGCCCGGTAGACCACAACTCGCGGGCGGCGTGGATGGAGCAGGCAAAGGCAGCGCGGGCAGCAGAAGCTGAGCAGCAGGCCGACGACAAGTGCCCCGTAGACCACAACTCGCGCGCCGCGTGGATGGAGAAGGCAAAGGCTGCGACAGCAGCGCAAACCGCCACGCCGCCGCCGAGCGCGCAGCCCATGCCCAGCGACGGCTGCGACTCCTCCTCCATGGACCAGACGCTCCCCTCCAAAACTGCATCCGCCGTTTCTCCCATCGTCAGCGCGACAGGCTTCCGTCTAGGCGAGCGCCGCGAGGTGTCGACCATCCCGCGCGCCTTCCCCGAGAGTGCCGCGTCCGGCGGCGCGCCCGCCAACAACGAGCAAGACACGGGTGCGGACAAGGGCAGCGGGAACTGGATCTACCCGTCGGAGCAGATGTTCTTCAACGCGATGAGGCGCAAGAATTTCGATCCGCGGATGGAGGACATGCGGAGTATTGTGCCGATCCACAACGCGGTGAACGAGCGCGCGTGGAAGGAGATCAAGGAGTGGGAGGAAGGACGGGGGTCCGAAGAGTGAGTAGTTTGTCCATGTTCGTTGAAGCGGTTGCTAACCAGCGCTGGTGCGCACAGGTGCGGAGGCCCCAAACTGGTCGCTTTCGCGGGCCAGTCCACGAAGCTCACGCCGCGCGCTCGCTTGAACACGTTCCTTGGCTACCAGGCGCCGTTTGACCGGCACGACTGGACGATCGACCGGTGCGGCGTGACGGTCGACTACGTCATTGACTTTTACGCGGGGCGCGACGAGGGCAAGGCCGGCAAGAGCTTGAACTTTTATCTGGATGTGCGGCCGAAGCTGAATAGCTGGGAGGCGGTCAAGACGAGGGCGTCGCGGTTCGTGGGAATGTAGTTGTAGGAAAGAGGATGTGTGCATATTTTCAAGTGTAGTTGATGCATGGACACATTGACGAATCGGGCATCTGGGTTGGGTTGGGAAAATGCATTGGAGGAGTTTTATGGGCGACCCCGTTCTTGGGGCTGTAAGAGTAGCGAAGACGAAGGAAACTATTACCCCTCTCCGTCTGGACCGCCGTCCGAAGATCAAAATTCGAGCATCGAAAGGAATATGAGAGGAGGCAAGGACGCACTTTGCGATGTGGATGTGAATTGATACGCAGCAAAGATGCTTCTTGGACCAAGGAACGGGTGGTGGCCTCACCGGTACGTTTGATGCTCTCCTCTTTCTCTTGCTCGGCTCTTGCGATCAATACTCTGCTCTCGATAGTATTGTGTTCCATTTACCATGAGTTATCCTTGATGTTGCCTTCACTCTAAACCTCGACCCATGTTGAGATGAATGTAAGATGAGGCTCCGGAGCTCACTCGTGCTCGGCAAGACACTCGCGTGTTGAGTGCCTTGCCTGGGCCTCAGCTATTGATGTATTCTCATTTTGTAGTGCCACATCACTGAGCATTGGCTGCTCTTTCCTGACCGTAAGGGAGGCCGTCGTATTCACTCTTATGGAATCAGTTCGTTTCCGTGCTTTCGTAATGTTCAGTTTGTGGTTTCCAGGGAGAACTGTGACGTTCAACCTCATTAGAGTCGCGCTGACTACTGAAGTAATTGCTATTGTGGTATCCTATAATAGACACCAAGTCCAAAGTCAGGTGGAAGTACCTGCTGCCTACGTTCTCTTACCTTTTCAACCCATCATTTTTACTCCTCTCTCCCCATTCCCTCACACTCACTGCTCATTTCAACTCCATTCTATCACCACACGTAGTCCCACTCCGCCTTCAGCTATGGCGCAGCCTGGTGATGCCGGACAGGATGCACAGTTGCAAGGCAACAACGACTTCAACTGAGATCTGAGTATGGTAGCAGGCAGCGCCTTGTCGGGTTACACCTCCGGTGATCAGACGCAATGGGGTGAAGGCACATTCCCGAACGTGTCCATGTCCGCTCTCCCCTCTCAGGTCAACGGAGCGATCAACATCATGGCGGGAACTTTCAATTATGACGGCATTCAAGAAGACGCCGGCGACATGTTTCGCAAAGCTGAGGGCACGGACCGCCACGCGCATGTCGGCGTTGCTGGGGTGCCAATGTCTGCTTCACTGGCGTCACCCTACCAATACGGGCTAGCGCCTGTCCCCAACGTCAACAGCGGTTATAGCTGGAACAACAACAACTTTGCCAACTTCACCTCTGGATCGTTCAACTCACACATTCCGAAGACGTCCTCAAGCTTCTACCCATCCCATCCTCACACCAAAGCTCCAATGCCGCAATTCTTCGACCCCGCTCAACTTGCCCGCGAGCAGGCCAGCTACTTGTACCAGTCGCGGCCCGAGCAAGGTAGAACATCCCTCTGACCCTACACATGAACCCGTCCGATCTCTGTCGGGCGGATTGCTTTCATCTGACAGTGGTAAACATTAGCACTGACAATATGCAGAAACACAGGGCTCGACCAGCCAGCAGACAGTGGAGTCGCCTCCTGCCCCGAGCGGCAACAATGGCACCCGCAACTCCACCGCCGGTCTTAGTGACATTCCCGACCTGAACTTTGATGAGTCGGATGAGCGAGATGACTCTAGTGTCTCTACCCCAAAGAACACTGCCAACCGCGCTCGCCGTAAGAGTAAGAGTGACGATGATGACTACGAACCGGAGGAGGCCATTGATGACGCCGCCGACGAGTTCATACCCAAGCGTACTCCCAAGACATCTCGAGGAGCCACGACGCCCCGGGGAACCACGACACCGCGAGGAACTGCGACACCTCGGGGAAGCGTGAAAGAATGTCTTCCCGTTGACCCGCCGCCATTGTCACTTCGCTCCAAGGATGCCAAGAAGTGGATCGAACTCTACGTCCTCTCCGCTCTTCCCGAACGTCCCAAGATCATGCCTGTCTCGCAAGAGCATTTGCGCCACCGCGCAGTCACGCCCGATGTGCTCATCCACGGAATCGTCACCGTCAGCGCCAAGCTCGTCAAGGACATGAACTACGGCGTGGAGCTCGAACGCAAGGTGAAAGGCCAAGGTGAACGCCGCACCAAGGTGCTTACATCCGACGTCTACAACCCGATCACTGCGAAGATCGTCCGCGACGAGAAGTGGAACCTCGGCGACATGCGCTTCTGCATTACCGAAGGCATGAAGCGGATCGAGATGACCCGGCGGCGCAACGCGAACTTCGAACGCCGCATCGAAGATGGAGCTGGCAAGCTTGTCGAGACGAACGCGCAGAAGGGCACTGCTAGCCGTAGCCGCGGCGACAGCATGTCCAAGAACCCCCCGTCTGTGGACGAAGTGATGCTTCCGCCCATCACGCCTAAGAAGCGCGGCAGCGAGTCCGATATGACTTCTCCGGTTTCAAAGAAGGCCAGGACTCCGAAGACGCCGAGGACGCCCGTTAATTCTTTCGCTGCGATGGGCTTAAAGAGCGCCACTAGGGGAAAGTCTGCGAAGGCTTCTACTCATAAGAAGACGCCTTCTGGCCGCAGGGCCAAGATTATCAACGACGACAGCGACGAGTACGTTGACTGAATGGGCTGACAACAATGACTCTCAGGCGAGCTTTGCGACTGCTTCCCGTGGAAGAGGGCTTCGCGAGCAGAATCTACTCGAAAGAGCACTGACTTTCCGACGGTTTGACTATTACCAGCGGCAAGTTCTTTGGATCAGAAGTGCGAATTTTTCCACTATCCGTTTTCTCGTCGATATACCGGTTTAGCTGATCCAACCATCTATCCCAATAGGATTTGGGATAGCGATCCACTGATCTACCGATCGACTGCGGTTGGAAAAGCACTGGCACCGACGACAAGCGATGCATTATCAACAGAACTGGAGGCTCAACGGTTTATGGTTACGAAGATGGACGACACTAATGGAGACTCTGGAAATCAACCTTTATTCTAGCGAGACTGCTGACTATGGAACTTGCTTTCCATCCGTAGCTCACGCGAGAGGCTCTTATTAGCGGTGGGGCAAGCGTCCAGCAGATTTCCTTTATTTCATTTTCCTTTTCTTTCCCTTTCTTTCTTTCCAGTAATACGAAAACCACTCAACTTCATGCATACTCCCTTTCATCATCACCTCATGGCTTTGCTTTTCACACTTTTAAATAGCAAAATAGGACAATGAAATGACATCATGCGTTCGGGCTCGGATATAGAGCACGGGCAGTCCTTATATCGCCTATATATAAAATTGACTGTGCGGCGAAGATCAGGGGAGGGGGTGTGCTGGAGAAAAAAAAAGTAGGGTTGACAAAAATCTTTGAAGGCGAGCGCATTTCTAATGCTTATACATATGCCAATGTTGACGATAATCTGTAATGGAGTGTTACTTGTCACGCTTGTGATGCCTGCTTCTTACACAGACTCAAACACCCGAGGATGCACCATAGCACCCCAGCGCGACTCCTGACACCGAGAAAAGCCAAGAATTGAGTTTATCTTGAGAAGATTAGCTGGGCCCCCACACGGTGTTCATCGTACGAGAGACAGGTCGAGACCCAATAGGGGTGGGTGTGGTCTGTTCGGAACGCTATGAACTTAGACATCCACCTGTACTCGAAAGCAAGGAGCTTCTCAAGGGCCTAGAATTGCACGCGTAATGATTGAGTTGCTTTCGACATCGGTGGTAGCAGGTGGCCGCGCACTCAGATCGGGCGTTTGTCAAGGCCCCCTGTCAGTATCTCAAAGAGCACACACGCAAGACCGGATTGCGTAGGATCGGGGCTTGTTCTGGGCGCAGCATGTAGCAAATGGCAGTAATCATTATGTCGACGAGTTGCTATCTGCTGACGGAACGCACGGCTAGACGAAACGGCATGGCCGGCAGGGGAACCGGCGGGTGGGCGAATGGTGGGCGGAGGGCTGCGGCACGGTGATGGCGCCGCACAGTCGAACAAAGTGCAACGCAACCTGCTTAGGCCTGATACACTCAGCTATGACTAAAACAGGTGTAGGAAAAAACCCCATCTCTCTGGCAGAGACTTTGGATTACATCATGAAAGGGCAGCGTCAGTGCGCTGGCAGGTACAAGGACAGAGAGCAGAGCGGGTTTTTGGACGAGGCGACCTCCTCCATCACACGTCGATCACGCGGTTGATAGTCGAGGGGAAAAAAAAGAAAAAAAGTTCGCCATTGCCAGTGCAGTCGTTTGGGTCGTAGTCGTTCGCCGTCTGTTGCTGAGGCCCGGCCGCCTGCTCGCCTCCCCTCCAATCCGCGCCCGTGCAGGGATTTGGGCCTTGGGCTGCGCGCTTGTCCTTGCCTGCGCCCCGCCAGACTCTCGACAAAGCTACTCGAAGTCGGCGACGGGCACCACATCATCTCGCCTCCCCCGACAACAACATCCACCTCTCCTCTTCCGACTCCTCTTCCTCTTCCTCCCCTCTGGATACCGCCCGGCCACGCAACCCCCAATCGACGCCACTCGCCGCTCCCCTCTGGATCTCGGTGCCGGCATCGATTCGCGGGCCGAAGCCTGGCCCCGACCCAGCCCTTCAACGCTGCACAGCCCCCGGCTATCCTTGACGACCATCCTGCGCCATACTTATACGCTGACATAACTGTCGCGCGCGCGCTCCTGGGATCAGCTCCCTGAAACCGCTCAGGTGTTAAGGGCCGTGTTTCCCGACCACGTCGCCGCCGCCGTCGACCGCGAGTTGAACAGCTCATCCACACGACATGGAGCAACCCGCTCAACCCAACCTGCGGGTCACCAGTAAGCACACCCGCGATCTATGATGCCATACCCCGCCCATAACTGACACCCTATAGTCATTGCCGCAGATGGACTCTACAAGCGCGATGTCTTCCGTAGGCCGCCCTGCCCTGCCCGCCTTGGCCACCAGACGTGCTGACCCCATATCCCCAGGATTCCCCGACCCCTTCGCCGTGGCCACGGTCAACGGCGAGCAGACGAGGACGACGAGCGTCATCAAGAAGACTCTGAACCCATACTGGAACGAGAGCTTCGACATGTGAGCAACCCGGCCGCCCGCGCGGGGCATGGGGGCGATACTGACTAGACGCAGGAGGGTTACCGAGGAGAGCATACTGGCGGTTCAGATATTCGACCAGAAGAAGTTCAAGAAGAAGGATCAAGGTTTCCTGGGTGTTATAAATGTCCGCATCGGGACCGTTATAGATCTGGATGCAGGCGGTGATGGTATGCTTCCCTGATCCGGCTCTCTTTGACCGCCGGTCTAACTGACTGTTCCACAGAAATGTTAACACGCGATCTTAAAAAGTCGAATGATAACATGGTCGTCCACGGAAAGCTCATTCTCAACTTGTCTACCAATCTTTCGCAGCCGATAAGCACGCAGTCTCAGGCCCAAAATGGACCGCGGCCATCCTCTGTATCTGCCCATTCTTCGCTCAACGGAATCCCAACGCAGGCCTCCACCACGCCAGTCGCTGGCGCTCCCGCACAATCCCTGCATCCCGACATGTATCCTGGAAATCGCCCGGGTGCTCCGGGCACCGTCGCGCAACGACAGAGCCAGAGCGGACCGCCTGGGGCGGCTCCATCTACCGCATCTACCAATGGAAACCCAAGAGCTTCTGGCTACAGTGCTTTTGAAGATGCTCAAGGCCGTCTTCCGCCAGGCTGGGAGCGGCGGGAGGACCATCTGGGACGGACGTACTACGTGGACCACAACACCAGGCAGACGACATGGATACGGCCGACTGCTGGAACCAACGAGACGGATCAAAGAAATCAGATGGCGGCGCAAACGCAGCAGGAACGCACCAGACATCAAGCCCGCATGCTTCCAGAGGATCGCACTGGAGCGAACTCGCCGACGCTGTCCGAACGCCAGAATGCCTCTCCTCCAGCCGGTCCTTCTGCCAGCGCTGTTTCCATGATGGCGACCGGCGCGACCACCGCGGGCACGGGAGAGCTGCCGTCCGGTTGGGAGCAGAGACATACGCCTGAGGGCAGAGCTTACTTTGTTGACCACAACACTCGGACCACTACCTGGGTGGATCCCCGCCGCCAGCAGTACATCCGGATGTATGGCAGCAACGCTCAGAACGGAACCATTCAGCAGCAGCCCGTGTCGCAGCTTGGCCCTCTGCCCAGCGGCTGGGAAATGCGGTTGACCAACACCGCTCGTGTCTACTTTGTCGACCACAACACCAAGACGACGACTTGGGACGACCCGAGACTGCCTTCTTCTCTGGACCAGAACGTGCCACAGTACAAGCGTGATTTCAGGCGGAAGTTGATCTACTTCCGTTCGCAGCCAGCTCTGCGGATCGTCTCCGGCCAATGCCACGTCAAGGTCCGCAGAACGCATATTTTCGAGGACTCTTACCATGAGATTATGAGGCAGAGCGCTGGTGACCTGAAGAAGCGTCTTATGGTCAAGTTCGATGGCGAAGATGGTTTGGATTATGGTGGTCTCAGCAGAGAATTCTTCTTCCTGTTGTCTCACGAGATGTTTAACCCGTTCTACTGCCTGTTCGAGTACTCGGCGCACGACAACTACACGCTTCAGATCAACCCCCACTCGGGCATCAACCCCGAGCATCTGAACTACTTCAAGTTCATTGGCCGTGTTGTCGGTCTTGCCATCTTCCACAGGCGTTTCTTGGATGCGTTCTTCATTGGCGCGTTCTACAAGATGATTCTGCGGAAGAAGGTCACTCTGCAGGACATGGAGGGCGTCGACGCCGATTTCCACCGCAACTTGCAGTGGACGATGGACAATGACATTGACGGTGTCCTCGACCTCACGTTTTCCACCGACGATGAGCGCTTCGGTGAGACCGTCACTATCGATCTCAAGCCTGGCGGACGGGACATTGAGGTTACGAACGAGAACAAGAAGGAATACATTGAGTAAGTCTGGGCATGGAACTATTGCTGGAGCCGCTAACGCTAACAATTATAGACTCATTACTGAGTGGCGCATTCAGAAGCGGGTGGAGGAGCAGTTCAACGCCTTCATCACTGGATTCAACGAGCTTATTCCTCCGGATCTTGTCAACGTCTTCGATGAGCGCGAGCTGGAGCTGCTGATTGGTGGTATTGCGGACATTGATGTCGATGACTGGAAGAAGCACACCGACTACCGCGGCTACACCGAGAGCGACGAGGTCATTCAGAACTTCTGGAAGGTCAGTATACAAGTGTTCGATGATAATCTGCTCTGTTCTAACATCTGATTCAGTGCATCCGGAGCTGGGACTCGGAACAAAAGTCGCGTCTGCTGCAGTTCGCGACGGGTACGTCTCGTATCCCCGTCAACGGATTCAAGGATCTCCAGGGCAGCGACGGACCCAGACGGTTCACGATCGAAAAGGCGGGCGAGCCGACGCAGCTGCCCAAGTCGCACACGTGCTTCAACCGTCTGGACCTGCCGCCGTACAAGACGTACGACGCGCTCAACCAGAAGCTCACGATTGCCGTGGAGGAGACGGTTGGATTCGGGCAGGAGTAGATGGATGTCCGGCATTACAGGTACCAGGGTCTGTGTGTTTTTTTTTTTTTTTTGCACCCTGTCGTCGTCGTCGTCGTCGTCGTCGTCGTCGTCAAATTCCTTAATACCCCGCCGCAGCCCTGTGCAAAAAAAGTGTTCTCTGTACAGGCCATCGGCTCGATACTTCGTTTATGGCAGGCATGACCGGAAAGCAAAATTGGCGAAATTCTCCGTCGCGTCCCCTCTCCTCTCCTCCATCCATCATCGCTCGGTCTGTGGAGGCTTGTTGTTGTTGTTGGTGTGAGAGTGAGTGAGTTGAGTTGAGTTTAGTGAGTGAGTGGGTAGGGGCGAGGGAGGAGCAGAAGCGCACAGCGTCGAAAGCTCGCGGCCGGTTGCTCGCGCCGTGGATGTTTTGCGCGCGGGCGATTGTTTTTCAAAGTCTAGCCATGGAGGGAGCTCCGTCACGGAGGACGTTTTGCGTGTGAGTTGTGTGGTTTTGCGCTTTTTGCTGGTTTTCTTTTTCTTTTTCATTGGTGTTGTTTGTCGTCGTTGGCGTTCTTCTTTCTTAAGTGTGTTTTTCCCTTTGCCTTTTTTCCTTTTCCTTTTCTTTTTTTGGTTCTCGTCTCTGACCGCTTGCTTTCTCTCTCTTGTTGCGGTGGTGCTGGTGATGGGTTGAAGGCAACTAACTATCTACCTACCTACCTACCTACCTACTCTTTTTTCTTGGTTGGAGGTGGGGACGGAAGGAAGGACGGAAGGACGGGAGGGAGGGATGTGGGACGGTGGGAGGATGGGATGGAGGGTGGTTGGATTGGGAGGGCAAGGGCTAGGTACCTACCTAGGGCTTGGGGGATGGATGGTGAAGGGGTGGTTGGTTGGTTGGTTGGTGGTGCTGCTGGTGCTGCTGGTGCTGCTGGGTGCGGGCAGCGGGGTCTTTGGGAGGGGGAGGGAGAGGGCCCGTATACATATATCAGCAAGGTGCTATGGATGGCCGGCCGCTGGTGGCTTGCGTGCGGCTTGCGTGCGGCTTGAGTGCGGCTTGCGGCAAGCCTGTCGCCCTGGCACGCAGGCGGAAGGTTCTGAATGGATGGATGGATGGATGGCTGGATGGGCGGGATGGACTGGGCTAAACTGGGCGAACACTGGGCTAGGCTGGATGGGCAGCGCAGATAAAGCTAACTACACTACCTTAATCACTTCTTTCTTCTTCTTGGTTTCTGTTGCTTGGTCTGCTGGGCTGGTGGCTGGTGGTTGGTGGTTGGTGCGATTGATTGGGTATGGGATGGGATTGGGATTGGCTTGGTAAGGTAGGGGTGGTTGGAGCTGGGTTAGGGCGTGGTCGGGGCTGGTGCTGGGGGTTTGAGGCTGGCTGGGGTTGAAAGTTAAGGTTACGGTGGTAGGGTTGGGGTTGTTACTGTGCGATGGTAGGTAAGTAGGTAGGTAAGTAAGGTAAGTACATCGCCGCCGATGATATTGATTATGAAGCGGGGGAGACAGACAGACGTTTGCGAGCAGAAGCAGATCCTCCATCTATCTATCCATCTAGGTAGGTATGTATCTATTGCACACACACTCTCCCCCACACGCACACAGCAATTAAAGTAAAGCAAGTAAAGCAAGTAAAGCAAGTAAAGCAAGTAAAGCAAGTAAAGCAAGTAAAGCAAGTAAAGCAAGTAAAGCAAGTAAAGCAAGTAAAGCAAGTAAAGCAAGTAAAGCAAGTAAAGCAATCAAAGCAATCAAGACAGCCAGCAGTAAGAACAAACAAACATCCAAACGGCACAGAGTGCTCTAGAAGTGGGAGTAGACGCGTCGGCCACGGTCACAGGCAGGGGCAATGGCAGATCATGGGGTTGGCGTGGGCGCGCGCACCAATGCCACCCAGTGGTCTGTGCGGCTCTGGGGAATCCTGGCTCTGGGTGGCGGACGCGGCAGGGAGTGGCTGGTGCGTTTCCATTGGTGCTTTTGCTGGACGTGGTGGAAGAGGCGGAAGTGCAGGTGCTGCAGGCGCAGAAGCAGGCGATGTTTTCGGGCAAGAGAGGGAGGGCCGTGCCCATCCACCCACCACCAAGAATTGGTTCGGAATCGGTCGTGACCAACCTAGGTAGGAACCTCGTATCTATGCCGTCCCATCCCTCCTTAGACAGCATAGCATAGCATAGCAATGGACAACGATGGGCAATGGCGCGGTAATACAGGCGCTGGATCGGGCTGGCGGCGCCAGAAATAGAGTGGTGGTGTGGTGGGTGGCTGGACGCGGCTGGTGTGGTACAAGAGCTACGGCACGCGCGCGCGCTTTGGGTCGGACTTTGTTGGTTCTGTTGCTGGGACAGCAGCGAGCGAGCGGTGCGTTGAAAAGCGCAGTGCACTGCACTGAAATATCTAATATAACTAACTAATGCGAGGACGCAGTCGCGGGGAAGGGGTGTTTATTTTATATTATTTGTTTTATTTTTTTTGTTTTGTTTTGCTGGGAGAAGGGGCACGCCGACGCGGGCGTGTGTGGTGATGGGTGCATTGCACGCATGCAGCCATCGCGCGCTAGTCGAGCTGCTGGGGCGGGCTAGAGGGCACGGCAGCCAGCTCTGGCTGCACTCTGGAACTGGGGCGGGCGCGCCTCCGACGTCCGCGTTACCGGGCTGGTGTGCATGTTTGGGTGTAGGTACATAAATGCCGCGCGCCCGGGACCCTTTCTTCCTGTCTTTCCTTCTCCCTTCTTCTCTCCTGCTTCTGATTTGCTTCGTCTTCCTCTCTAGGTACGGATCCGTACGAGCCTGCCTGCTGCTTTACTTCACCTTACCTTCGCTGGTGTTGTTGACCGAACGAACAATCTACGTCTTCTGTCGTTGAGAGCTGCTAAAGACTTCTGTTGCGCTTCTTCTCCCTCACTCATCTCGTTTTAATCCGCTGTCTTCGTCGTTGACACTCGTCTTCACGATGCGCTTCTCGGTCACTGTACTCCTGTGCGCCACTGTCGGCCTGGCCGCAGCTCAGAGCGCGACGTCGACTGCCGCAGGATCTTCTCCGTCGTCGTCGGGATCGGACTGTCCTGCTCAGAAGTATGTTTACATCCCTTGTTTTTGCCGAGTTGGTTATGTTGTTGTTGTTGTTTTTGTGCAACAACAACAGTGGCACGCACGAAACCGGCACCGACCCGCTGGCCGGAATGGACGCGCACTGAGCACTGAACGATGAATGACTGAACGAACGTACTGACGCGCCTCCTCTTCTCGCAGCATCCTCGATGCTTGCCTCGACACCCTGCAGCCCCGCGCCGCGGCCTGCCCCGCTAACGACTGGGTCTGCCTGTGCAACACGCACCAGGACATCCTGACGTACGTGGTCCCCCAGCGATGTCTCCGCCACCGCCACGGTCCAGATACACCGTGACTGCGACGAGACGAGACGAGCTAACAGCGAATCACCCACGCTAACGCACCACCAGCTGCTACAACAACTGCCCGGGGCTGCCCGCCCGCAGCGGTGTCCAAAGCCAGGTGGCATCGTACTGCGGAGCCGCCGCGCCGTAAGTTCTCCCTCCCTCCCACACACAAGCTCCCCAAACGCACACACGCACGCAGCAAACCCGCTAACACGTCCACGCGCGCAGCGCCCTCTCCTCCAGCAGCGAAGCAGCGAAGACGCGCCCCAGCGCCTCGGCCACCTCGGCCCGCTCCGGCTCGGGCACGGCCACGGGCTCTGGCTCCGCGGCCACGACCACCGGCTTCGACTCCCTGGACTCGGGGTCCAGCTCCAGCAGCACTGGTGGCAGTGAAAGCGGCAGTGGTAGTGGCAGCAGCGAGAGGACGAGCACCGCGGCCGCGAATGCTGGTAGCGTGGCTAGGGGCGTGCAGTCTGGTGGCGTGTTGGCTGCTGTGATGGGCTTTGCGGCGTTGTTGTAGGTTGGAGTTTGTGTTGTGCGGTGGGGTGTGATGGGAGAGGCGTAATGTAATGTGTGCTCGTTTGTTGTTGTTGTTGTTGTTGTGGTGGTGGTGGTGGTGAGGGTAGGGAAAGAAGGGGCTTGAGCGTTCTGTGCTGCTGCTGCTGCTGCTGCTGCTGCTGTTGTTGTTGTTGGGATAGTCGTGCTTCTTTTACTTCCAGTCACTGCTGCGTTTCTTAGTTTGTATTAGTCCGAGCTGTCTTTCCTCTTTCTTGTTCTTGTCGCCAACATTCGCTTTGGGAATGGACAGATAAACAAGCAATCGAAAAAGAAAAAGAGAGACATACGGATCCGTTTCTCTCCTCTACTTACTCTCGCCTCACCACCACCACGCACTACCTTACTTACCCTCCCAATCACTCATCACTCACCACGCACCACGAATCACCTTACCCCAGCCAAGCCAGCACAGCACAGTGCAAAACCCCCCTCGCTACCTGCGTACGTACGTGCGTGCGTGCTCGTACAATACCGTGTTGTACCACCCCAGCCGCGCATGCGTATGCGTATTCGTACCTAAGCGTGCGCGGTCACGCTACACGACGACCCACGACCCCTCGTCTCGTGCTGTAGCACACGGGCCGGCTGGGGAAGTCCACGGGGTGAGGGCGGTGGTGGTGAGGTGTGGTGTAGGTGGGTGTGCACTGCACGCGCATAGCTGACAGCATAGGCGGGCGCGATAGGTAGCGACATGGCAGTTGGACCATACCGCGAGAGGGGGCGTGGTGGCGTCGGTGTCGACATCTTCAAGGAGAGGAGAGGAGAGGAGAGGAGAGGAGTACTGGAGCGGCGTCCTTTTCACGCACACCTTGGGCAGGTACGAATGAGGCGGCCTGGTGAGCGGGTTACCTACCCACCCCATCTATCCCACCACCAACCCAACTTCCCCCGAACCCCCTGACCCGCCTCCCCGCCCACCCTCTTCCTTCCCCACAAAGCAGCACAACCCAAAGCGGGGAAAGAAACCCGCCCCCTTAGCCGCAGCTCACCCCAAACCCAAAACCCCAGCCGCAGCCCACGCTAGCTAGCAGGACCCCTCACGCCAGGCACGCGCGGCGCGGCGCTAGTGCTAGCGCGCTACTGTACTTACTCTACCGCACCACGCACTTCGCACTTCGTAGCGACGTGTGTACTCTAGAGTAAGTAAGAGTAATCAGCACTAACGTCGCTACTACTGTACGTGCTAACGACCCCCTGCAGCACGTAGCAGGACGCACGCACGCGGGCTGCCGGAACTAGGACCAGCCCCGGGGCCGGACCTGGGGCCGATGGTGGTGGTATTTTTTGCGGGGTGGGCTAAGGGTACTAGTGCGGGAATAGAGCGTGGTGTACTCTAGTGTGTAGTAGTGCGGGAATACTTCTAGGGTGTAGAGATAAGGTTCCAGAGAAGCCTTCTAACGCGCGTTCTAGAGTACTCTACTCTACTCTAGAGGAGGTCGCCTGGCGCTGGCGCTGGTACCTGCATGCCATGCTATGCCACGCCTTGCGGCGTGCCGCTACTGCGTAGTTCACACGCGCGGCTTTGCGGCCATGTGCGCGCTGTCATGGCTAGGGGATGTGGAGGGGTGTGGCTGGTGTGGTGTGGTGTGTGTGTCGGGGTGGTGAGGGAGGGGGGTTGGATGAGTGTAGCTTTGTCTTGTCTTGTCTTGGGTTAGGCAGGGCTGTCTTGGTCCGTCTTATTTGTTCTTCACGCTCGCCATGCAGATGCTGCTCGCTTGGATGGAAAGAGAATGCAAAAGAACACCGTACCCATAGTGCGGGATTTACTGCGTCGTCACGGTTTCCCGCGTGCGCTGGCTTCCTTCCTTCCTTCCTTCTAGCCTACCTCAAACCTAGCCGGCCGGCTCTATGGCTGCAGTGGCGCGGGGCGAATCTCCCTGTCTGCGGACTTTGCCGTGCGTGCTTGCTGTTGCGTGGCGTCTGGAGAGGCACTGATGGGGCGGGCAGGGAAGGAAGGGAGTAAATGGAGCGAGAGCGGGGAGAGAGAGAAGAGCGGGTTCTCTGAAACGAGAGGCGGCGGAAAAGAGAGGGTATCTCGCGGTGTTGGCAGGCAAAAGCAGAGGCTTCGGCGGCTCTTCACGCAGCAGCAGTCCCGCTGCGCGTCCGCGCGGCTACAGCGGAGCCCGGGTCTCCACCGCGCAGGCGCAACGTCCCGTCGATAGGCAGGCAGGAAGGGCGGGCACACCGCGTCACGGCGTCGTCACGGCAGGCGGCTTGGCAGGACGAGGTTGGAGGAGGTAGGTAGGTATGTCGATGGGTGCGGTGCGGTGGCGGCGGCGGCGGCGCGCGCGCGGGAAGCAGCATGGCCGGTGCTTGCAAAACGATGCGCAGCAAGAGAAAACGGGGTTGTTCTAGAAGGGCGAAGCTTTTCAGCACCGGCTACGGAAGGGCTCGAGGTCGGGGCTCCATTGGTCGTTGGGAGTGGGCCGCGCCACTCTGCTGGCGCGCTGCGAACAGGCGGTCAGGCCGTTTTTCTTCTGATATCAGCATTTTCGCTCGTCTCACCGGTGTGGCGGAGATGGGTGCTTCTTTCAGCGAGAGGGCGGGGCAAACGAAGGCGTGAGGAGAGGGCTGAAACAAGACGTTGGCGCGGCGTTCATACTACATCCTTCTCTTTCTGTGTCTTCTTCTCCTCCCCCGGCGGCGCGGTGAAGGCCGTGATCTCGAGACCCATCCGATGCGTGCGCGCGAGCCTGCTGGCATCAAAGCTTTTTGCTCCAGCCACCGCTCAGCGCCCCGAGTCCCCATCTACAGCCAGCTCATCAGCTAGCAGATCCCGCGCGCACAGCCCTAAAGGTATGACGCTCTCTTTTTGGCGTCTGCTGCTGCGAGACGTCTGCCTCGCAAGAGAGGGAACAAGGAAAGTGCGGGGTAAGAGGGTGTTGATTTGAGTTAGCTGTGCCACCGACCTGCAGTTTTTCCGCGTAGGAGCGCGCCAAAGATAGTGCAAATATGGGGGGGAAATCCTCCGACCATGCCCAGCGGCATGAAGCCCGGACCTGCCTGCCTACCTACCTACCTAACCTACCTATCTTCAGGCAATTGATGAGACCTTACTTCCACTGCGGGCCGAGGCGCGAGTAGCCGGCGGGCTTCAGGGGCGAGCATCGGGGAGCCGCAACAACAACAGTCGGTGTGAGCTTTCACCTTTCAACCACCGGCTGAGGAACACGTTATCCCCGCACATTCTGCAGGCTTCGGGCCGCGCCTCTTCGCGGCTAGATGGCGGCGGCGGCGGGCGCACAGGCGTTGCTTGCGTGCTCTGGCAGATATACCTACTCTAAAAGTAACGGTGGTCCAGACGGCGTGCTTCTCCGCAGGGTGCGTGGTTGTAGGCGAAGGAAGGTTGGACGCCTGACGGGTGGCGGAGGTGGTATTTTCGTAGAATGGGAGGGGAAGCATATGCAGATACACGTGTGAGAGGGCCCGAGGGATGATGAGTTGTTGGACATTCTTCAAGTCTGGCTGTCACTCTCACGTGGCGGGCAGGGATGGCCGAGTGATCATCTCCCCCGTTGCGATTGATTGATCATATCGTCATTTAACTAAATTTTTTAAAAATGGAAGAGGCGGCGCGCGACGGCGTGATGGAGCGTCTCGTGTCGCGCGCTTGAAATTAGGCGTGTGAATCTCCGGGACATCCCCTTGGGTTTCGCCGAGGCGGCCGACCCGGCATTGGGATGATTGATAGTGACCGATTTGGTATTTCGGCCGTGATCGCTCTCGCGCGCGCGCGGGGTGAGAGAGAGAGAGTGGAAGAGAACAAAAAAACACGAGGGAGGCGTTCCATCTCTCTCACCCACACAAGAAGAGAGAGAGGGAGAGAGAGAGAGTTGCACATAGCCACGGGTGTATGAAGAAAAAGAACACAGCTTCCCCAGACTTGCCAACGGCCGAATGCAGCAGAGGCATTGGCGTGCTGGCCCGCCTGACATGGTGGCTGACGCCTCTCCACAGCGTCGTGGAAAAGTTTATATCTAAGCTGCGACCCCCCCTGTCGTCGGTACGTGCTCCTGGGGGATTAGCGGTCAAACCGGCAGGGTCCTTTTCTCTGACTATTCGGCCTGCGCCTGCCTGCCTCATTCTTCCTTCTTCTTTCCTCTTTCCTGTCTCTCCCTCTCTATCGTCGACGCCCTTTCCTCCCCCTGCCGTCCCGCGCACTCCCGCCCGACCCGACGTTGCGTGGAAGAGAGTTACCCGACCTAATATATCCATCCATACCTATCAATCATTTGCCGAGAGCCCCTCGGTGACGTTGCCAGCTCGCGCCACCCTCGTGCCAAATCCCGAGTCCTCGGGGCCAACGTCAAAGCCACGCGGCGTCACGATTCTCTGCGGCGCGCGAAGCTGCGCAGCTGTCCCGTAGGCACGACTATGGCGAGCGGACGGCCTCCGTCGCACTACCATGAACTCCAATGATGGCGACGGCTTCCCCACTCGCGGTCCCGTGGTGCTGGCCGTCACCATTGCGATGATAGTCTGCTCGACCGTCTTCGTCTTCTTTCGCCTGGCATCGCGCATCGGAGTCGTCAAGAAGACGGGCTGGGACGACTATTTCATGGTAGGCCCGCGCCGCCAGTCACTGCGAGCCTCCGAGTGCGCTGACGTCCCACCAGATACTCGCGTGGATCCTCGCCTTTGGTCTCTCCTTCGCTAGCTGCTTTGGCACCCGCTATGGCCTCGGCAGGCATGAACGCAACGTGCCCGACGCCTGGGACCGTTCGCTGAAGCTGTGCGAGTACGTCTTCACGGTACTATACAATCCCTGTCTTATGGCGACCAAGACGTCCATCCTGGTCTTCTACCTCACCCTCTCCAAAAGCCGGGTAATCTTCCGATGGGCCGTCATCTGTACCCTCCTCGTCGTCAACTTTGGCGGTGCAGCTCTCACCGTCCTCAACATCATCCAGTGCCGTCCCATCAGCGCCGCCCTTCAGAACCCGACACCGGCAGATGCGCACTGCATCGACATTGTCACCCTCTACCTCTCGTCCGCTCCTCTCAACATCATCACCGACCTCGCCATCCTGTTCCTGCCCATGCCGGTTCTCACCTCGATGCGGTTGCCACGCAAGCAAAAGACGATCCTCGTCATCACCTTTGGATTCGGCATCTTCGCCGCCGTGGTCGATGTCGTTCGAATTGCCTATCTGCAGCAGGCCTCCGTCACTCGCCTCCAGGGCCTCCGGGCTTGGATGCAGAGCTCCTCCGCGGAAACGAGGAACCACGAGCAGAGCGACTTTGCCTGGTACGCGTCGTTGTCGTTCATGTGGTCTGCAATCGAGGTCAACGTCGGCATCATGTGCGGTTGCGTTCCGGCATTGAAGCCGCTCGTCTCGCGCTTCATGCCGCGCATCCTGCGGGATGCGGGTGACACCTTGCAATCGCAGACTCACAGGCGGCAGACGCTAAGCAGCATGGACCTGGCCCGAGTACAGTACGTGCCGTCCGCGGAAGCGCCGGTTCAAGAGCCACCGCCAATTGCCACGCCTGGGCCAGACGAGCCCATGGGAATGATGGACTTCCTGACGACGCCCGATATGGACGAGCTTCCGCAGTGCCAGCGAACGACAACCGCCCTGACCAACAGCACCAGACACACGAGCGCGCCGTCTCCGACCTTCTTTGATTTTGTTAGTTTCAAGCGAAAGAAGAGCCTGGTCCAACTGAGCACTCGCGAGTCCATTTTTCCAATTGCCGTGGTCACGTTCCTCTTCTTCGTGTGGGGGTTTGCGTATGGCCTGCTTGACGTTCTCAACAGCCGGTTTCAGGAGTTTGCCAACATGACGACGGGCCAGAGCATCAGCATCCACAGTCTCTATTTCGTAGGGTATTTCGTTGGGCCAGTAACGTTCGGGCGGATCGTGTTCCAGAAGTTTGGTTTCAAAGCTTGCTTTATCGTTGGGCTCTGCATCTACGCTTGCGGGAGTCTGATTTTCTGGCCCTCGGCGGTTCTGACGTCGTATCCTGCATTCTTAATCTCGAACTTTATCATAGGATTAGGTCTGTCGACGCTGGAGATTGCCGCGAACCCGTTTATTGCCCTTTGCGGGCCGCCGCAGCACGCTGAAATCCGTTTGAACATCTCGCAAGGCGTCCAGGCCATCGCGACGGTCACGTCTCCGCTCCTGGCCAAGAAAGTGTTGTTCAAAATCGAAGCAAACTCCCTGATTGACGTGCAGTGGACATACCTTGGCATATCTCTGTTCACCGTTCTGCTCGCCGTGGCATACTTCTACATACCGCTGCCGGAAGCCACGGGCCAGGAACTGGACGACGCGGCGGAGCGGCCAGACGACGCGAACGTGGCACGCATCGGCAACGTGCGCGTCATCTGGATCACGCTGGCGCTGGGCGTGTTCGCCATGTTCTGCTACACGGGCGTGCAAGAAGCCGTGTCGACGTCGTTCAAGACATACTTCAACGCCGTGGCGCCATGGGTCCAGACGACGAACCACATGGCGTACGCGCACACGGCCTTTGCAGTGGGACGGTTCCTAGCCGCGCTGGTCAACGTGTGGGTGAGGCCGCGGGCGATCATGCTCGTCTGCTTTCTAGGCGTGATGGCGTTCGCGATCGTAGCCTTCGAGTCCGACGGCAACCTGGCCGCCATCGCAGTCGTGTTCCTCTACTTCTTCGAGGGGCCGATCTTCTCGCTGGTCTTCGCACAGGCTCTGCGCGGGCTCGGGCGCAACACGAAGGAAGCGTCGACGTGGCTGACGGCCGCCGTGTCGGGCGCGGCCGTGCTGCCGCCCGTCTTCTACGGCGTGCAGAAGTCGCACGGCGTGCGCTACGCGTACTGCGTGCCCATTGCGGCGGCGGCGTTCGGCGCGCTCTTGCCGCTGTACCTGAATTTTTTGCCTGCCGCGCGCAGGCAGGTCGACCCTATCGATCTGGGCTCCTGCGACGAGCACGAGCTCTCGACCTGCGTCTCCCCGGCTTATCAGCGCCCGCTGCCGCCGCGCAGGCGCTGGTTTGGCAGGCGCAGGGACAAGGACTTGGAGCTGCCGTCGGTGCATCAGAAGGAGCGCAATTCGTGGCCGAGCAGCGCGTGAGTCTGTCTGTCTCCTCCGTTTTTCGTGAGATGATCCTGCCCCGTCTATTCTTTTTATATAATTTCGTCGGTTTGTCTGTCTGTTCGTTGTCTATATTTCCATGTTTTTTGTTATGGCTGCCTGGCTGGCTGCTTGCTTGCTTGGGCGGGCGGGCGGACTGCCGCTGCTGCTGCTATTATTACTGTCTGATGTCTGCATATATCACGGCGTTTGTTTTTTATGCGCAGGGAGGATCATTCTTTTCTTTTTTCTTTCACACACACACCCACACACACACACACACACACACACACACACAGGAATCGGGAGGAACGGGTCTGGGGATTTCGCCATGGTCGTTACGCGTGATGAGCTTTTTCCTTTGGGTCTCGGAGCTTCTTCTGTTTCTCGTTTTTCTTTGCTGCATGTTTGGTGATCCAAAAAAAAAAAAACTCTTAGGGTGGAATGAGGGTATGTATGAATGCGCTGTGGTGGGGGAAGGAGAGCGATGGTGCCGCCGTCTTCTGTCTGGCTGTCTGTCTGTCTGCTTGCGCTTGTTGTTGCTGCTTAACTCGTTTCCGCATGGCGTTCACGGGACATGGGATTACCCCTGGGAGCGCTTTGCTTTGCTTTGCTGTTTACGTCTGTCTTATCTTGTCTGTCTGTCTATTTGTCTGTCCACCCAGTCTCTCGCTCCGAGAGCACGCGCACGCGTTCCTGTTTACTTGGTTGCCTGCTTGCCTGCTTGGTTGTCTGTCTGTCTGTTCATCTGTTGCGCCTTCTCTGTACTGTACACTCCCCGCGCTTGATACCGTGTATATATACCACTTACCGTCTCCTCCTCCTCCACCACTACCTCCATCAGCACTGCTGCGCGAAGCCGCACTGTACCTACCTGTGTAGCAGGTAGTTGTTAATAATCAAACCTACTCATGTTTGTATGTATGTGTGAGCTCATACATACACATCACTTACACACCACTTACACACCTCTTACATACCTACATGCGTACATCTTGCGATTGCTGCCCTGCTGCCCTGCTGCCCTGCTGCCCTGCGGTCCACGATCGTCGCCGCCGGGCTCGGCAGTTGAAACACGCTCGCCTTGAGTGTCAAGTGCCAAGTTGGCAGAGGAGCACGCGAGGCGAGCGGTGAGTGCCGATGATGAGTGATGTGCAGTGATGGGCATTGGGCGATGATGCGGGATGTGCGGTATGTGAGTGATGTGCAGTGCAGAGAGGGCGGCGTTTGCGGAGATAACGTAACGTGCACGCGAGCGGTCGGTCGGTGGGGACGGCGGACGTCACGTTGAGTAAGCTGAGCTGCACTTGTTGCTTGCAAGGTTGCAGCTTTTCCATGAGTGCCGAGGTGATTTGATGGGCGGGGTGGCGGTTGGCGGTTGGCGGGGGGCTGGCTGGGAAGCGAGATGAGCTGTGTGTGTGTGGTGAGTGTGTGTGGTGGAATGGTGATGGGCTGTGGTTGGGTTGGATGAGTGGTTGGGATGGTTGGCTGGTGAGTGAGATTGAGCAGCAGCTGCGCGCGCGCGTAGGTAGACGACGTCTGGCGTCCGGATTGGTTGCGCAGGTTTGCGATTTGCGATCCGGGCATCACCCATCACCATCTCTCTACCAACTACCGCACGTAGTGGCAGGACCGTAGGGCCGTAGGTACGAGCAGGGCAGCAAACACGAGCTCGCGCCGCGACGCGATACGACGCGGAACGGAAGCACACCGAAGCGGCAGTTGCTAGGTGTGTCCTGTTTCGCGTTTCGCGTACGTAGTTAGTATGTACGTGTGTGTGGGGGCTGCGCCGCCAGGCCGGTTTCAAGGCTTCCATTCGATGCGGTTTCGTTTCTGCTTTCTGGTTTTGGGGTTTGGTTTCTGCTTTCTGCTTTGGGGGGTTGGCTTGTTTCAGATGTGGGTTGGTTGACTGGCGGCGATCATCCGAACGTTCGCTTGCGCGCCCGCGCTGGGTAGGTGGGCGGTTGTTGTGCTTACCTGCGTTTTATGCCTTGTAAAGATGCTGTGCTGGTTGCGAGTGCTTTGGCAACTACTAAGAAAATAGTTAGGCAGTACTCCCTATTACCTATGCTTAAGAAACCACGTCACTGAATACTAAAGAATTTCTAAATATATATATATATATATATCTATATATAAACAATCTCCCACCTAAGCCAGACAAAGCCACTCTCTAACATTCCGACTAATAGAATATAATGCATATACGTATTGTACATATATATTTGTGGAGGACCTGAAATGGATGTGTCAGATATAGGTCAGTTGGATACTGTAAGAACTGGCTGTCCTTCTTGTACATACGAGAGACCATAAGAAGTGTACACACGACCACGACAAAGCACGCAAGAACCCTATCAAACACAAACACAAACACAAACAAAAACACTAACCAGTACCAACACCCCCAAAGCCCGCACCACCCGCATGCACACCGTCATCCACTACCACAGCCACTACCACAGCCAAACCCCACTTCCCTACCACATAGCATAGTCAGAGCGTAACATCAAAACAGAACAAAGCGAAGGGAAGCAAAGCAAAGAGAGAGAAGTGTTGGGACAACGGGACCAAACAGACAGACATGTTAGGATGAGGTTATGATTTGAGTTTAGACGAGCCACCCACTAATTCTCACTACTCGAGTATGTTCCGGCAGGCCGCGTGGCTCTGAGCCTAAATATTTTAAACGGCAGTTACCCCGCAGCTGGGCCATGTGGCTGTCAGACAGGAAATCAGGGCTCACATGCAGGCATGCCTAGTCTGGCGCCACTATGTACTCTTACGCCACAATCCTCCCGTCCATCCACACGTCTTCAATCCCATCCATCCTCATCCCATCCTTCTCTCTGCGTCGCGCACCACTCTTCACTGTCCAGCCCCCTGTCCTTCCTCCGCCTCAACCCCACAGGATCCTTGTGCCAATCACAAGCCCACGCACAGGGCATCTTAGCCGCATCGGCATCGCCAAAATACTTTGCAATGAGCACATGGCGGCACTTCTCCGTAGCCTCGCAGTACTCGACCAGCTTCTCTAAGCTCTTAGCCCGCGTCTTCAGCGCCTCGACGCTCCCGCGCATTACCCCCATGTTGATCTTCGCAGCCTCTTCGTTCAACATCCGAATGTCACGGTCCCGGTCTTCGCGCCCGTAATACATGATGCAGACGCTGGCTTTGCCATCGCGGCCCGCGCGGCCCGCTTCCTGGTAGAAGCCCTCGAAGCTCTTGGGGATTTGCCAGTGCACGACGAAACGGACGTCCTCCTTGTCGATGCCCATGCCGAACGCTGTTGTTGCCACTACCACTTCGTAGCCCTCGGCGTTGGCCACCCATCCCGCTAGCGTGGCGTCTTTTTCGGCATTGCTCAGCTGCGCGTGGTACGGCTTAGCGCCGATACCTGACTGCTGCAACCGTATGGCTAGCGATTCGCAGTCGTCGCGTTTGCGCACGTAGATGATGCCGGAGATGGAGTCGGGCCGCTTACCGGCGGCTTGCAAGGCACTGACACGCTCAGGGTCGGATTGGCGGCGAGCGTGGACGGCGCGAAGCCATGAGAGGAAGTCGTCGTAATGGTCTGCTTCACGGGACTTGAAGCGCACTTCGTAGTGCAGGTTCGGACGACTGGTAGACGTAGTGAATAGACGCAGCTTTTCCGAGTCCAGTCCCAGACTACTGATGATTTCGGCGCGGACGTGGGCCGTGGCCGTAGCTGTTAGGCACATGATTGGCACGTCTGGGAACTCAGTCTTGAAGAAGCACAATTGCTTGAAGCTGGGACGGAAGTCGTGGCCCCATTCGCTGATGCAGTGCGCCTCGTCAATGACGATGCGGGCTAGCTCACGGTGCGTATGGACGACTCGCAGTAAGTTCCGGAAGTAGTCCAGGGAGCAATACTCCGGTGTGACATACAACAGTCGCGTGTGTGGGTGCCCGCAACTCATGTCCTCTCTGATTGCCTGTCTTTGAGAATAAGGCGTGGCAGTGTTGATCGTGGCAACTCTGACATTGGCGGCGCGCATGACAGCCACTTGATTGTTCTGGACAGGTATTAGCCTAGCTATAAATTGAACTTCTTTAAATGTGATTTACCATTAAAGCAAGAAGAGGGGAAATAACGAGCGTGACTAGCACAATTAGCAAATGTGAACATGCTAAGAGGGAATGAAACATACGGCCGCAGTCCACTATAGCCGGCAGCTGAAAGCAGAGACTCTTTCCGAAGGAGGTTGCTGCCTGGAGGAAGACATCGTGGCCTTCGAGAGCGGCGGTGATGACTTCCCTCTGAAGGGGCCTGCGACACGGCAATCGATAATTTGTTTGGCCAAAATCGAAGCAACTAGCACATACCTGAAGCTTTTCTTTCCGAAGATTCTTCGGAGCGTAAAGTCGATGTCGATGTGGGGCCTCCTCTTTTGAGCGGGCATTGTGAGGTCGATGGGCGATCAACTCAATCGCAAATTATTCCGGGTTGGAAGGCGGGAAATCCTCAAGCTACAAAAAGTGAGGGGAAGAGAACGGGGCCGGATACGGCAGCGCGGCAGTTGAGAGCGTGAGAAAGCAGTTGGCACATATTGGCAGAGAAGTGTGACGGAAGGATGGTGGATGTGGAAAGTGCGACGCGCCTCGCGCTCAGGAAGGCGCGTCAGGCACGAAGTCCCGTGCCACTTCACCCGCAGTAACTCCATCGAGTAAGATCACTCAGCAGCTCTTACATTGTGTTGTACATATGAACAACCTCGACGCTCTACACTATTTCGTACACATCTATTGTAAGCCCCGCCAGCCTCCCAACATGAAGAAAAGCCGTTTTGAAAATCCAAAACTCCGCTAAATTTCCCGGCCCATAACGCCAGCCATCTACACTTCGTCGGGGAACAGCTTCCTCACAATCTTGCTCATAGTATCCTTATCCGCATTGGAGGGCTGCCAGCGCTGCTGGATCTCCTCCCACACCTCTATCGTTCTAGCCGTACTCGTGACTTTTGCATAGGCGTAGATAATCTTGACGACGAAGCGCCCACTCAGGAAGAAATTAGTGTCTTCTTCGTCCAGCGCCGAGAGAAACGCCTCCCACGTCGACTCGAGTTTCGCCTTAGTCCACGAGCTGTACCGGACGCCGCCGTGTATCTCGAAGCCGTCGAACAGACGAAAGTACATGTCACCGCGCATGGAGATGCCATACGCGCCCGTCATCTCTTCGATTAGCTCGATGACGCGGTCGATGTTCCCGGCTGTGCAGGCATAGTGCGAGATCAGCACCTTGTAAGTACCATAGTCAGGACCCACAGGCGACTCGTCTTGCAGCAGCTGGCGCCCTTCCGGGTCCTCGCGCAGCTCGGTGGCGGCCTTGCGCAGGAGCTTGCCGAGCTCGCGCTGCTGACGCCAGTCCGCCGGGGCGGATCGGGGGCTCTGCCGATCATTGTGCATGCGCTTCATGCGTGTGAAGACTTGTTCCGCGGCCGTGGGCTCGCCGGCGTGGAGCAGCGCTGTAAGGACGCAGTTCATGATGGCCGTGTCGATGATTTCCCCGGCATCGACCAGATCGCGGTAAGCCTTTCGCACGGCCTCGCCGTCGCCTTTCATCCCGCAGAGCATGATCATTCCTGCTCGAAAATGCCGATCGAACTCCATTTTCCGCCTTTCCATCTCCTTGGAGATCATGGTTGCGAGCTGGTATTTCCCGGCCTTGGATGCAATGTCAAAGAGGATGTTGAACGTGATGTGGCTTGCCCTGACGCCCGCCTCCTGCTCCATCTCCCGCCATATTAACAGCGCAGACCCCACTTCTGCATTAGTGACCCTTCGATAACAGCGCCCTGCGAAATGGATCGCGGTACTCCAGTCCATGAAGTGTACAGGTATGTTTGTAGCTTTCATGTCATCAATGACGGCGAGATACCGGACCATAGCTGCTTCCGTCGGGTATTCTACCGCGCTGAGGCAGTTGAGTAGACGGCGAATGGTGGAGTAGTGGAGATACGCCACGCGCGGGTATGATATGGACGTATAGAGCCGGTGGGCCTCGTCCGGGGATGGATACTTGGTTGCCAGCAAATGCTCCAGGTTTCCAATGATGGCGTTTTCGTATTCATTAAGGTTCGGCCAGGGAGTATGGTAGTTAGGCCGGTCCTCCTGGTCCTCCTCCTCGTCTTCATCTTGTCGCTGCTGTAACCTCTCTCTTTCTTGCTCCTCTTTCAGTGTCTCAAGGCGCCCTTCCCAAGGCCGGTACGTCTGAACCAGCTTCCTGTAATCTCTCCTGTACTCTTCCGATGTAGGAATTGTTCCCGACGGGGTCCTCGGTCCGCCGCCATCCGTTGTGTTTTGCGCGTCATTACTGTAGCCTCTCACGCCCGCCTGCACGCCCAATGGCGCCTTCCGACGGTGCACCTGCTGCTCCCGCAAGCCATCAGAAGCTCCTCTCCACGTGCTTTTATATCTCGCCTGTCTGCGACAAGAGCCGGCCTGGACCAATGCGCTGATAAAAAAATTGTCTGTCTGCTGCGGTGGGAGCGGACAAGCTCTGGCGGCGGCTCTGGCGCCGATGTTATGATGCAGGGCCCGTTTCTGAGGGTGCTGGTGCGCGTAAGACGCAAGGGCGGGTGGGCAGAGGAAGGCGAGGAGAGGGTGGGAAGCTATCCTGCAGACAGCGGCCGGCTTGGTGGGCTTGTGAAGGGACATGAGACCCGAGCATGATGTCAAGGCTCCGCGAACCGGCCCATGAGGCAGTGGGGAGATGCAGCGGTCAATGGTCTTTCGGGGCGCGAGACGGAGCGCACTGAGGCGGGCTCCGGGGGGAATCGTGAAGAATAGTGACAAGGCTCGAACGCGGTGAACTTTCTGAACCCGCGCGGCGGGCAGATGCAGCGCACGGGCCATGGCGTCAATCTCACAGACAAGCAGCAAAGCAAAGATATATCGCCAGCACCAAACACATCCTCACCCGCGCCGCAATGGGCCGCTACAACTTCGCCCCCGCCCGCGTGCACCGCGCCGCCACCGAGCTGCTGCAGGCCGGCCAAATGAAGACCCCCCCGCCATGGTACGACGTGCTGGCCACCATCCCGCCCGCCGAGATGCTCGTCCGGCCCGTCCAGCGCACCTACAACCACCCGCTGAACAAGTACGCGAAGCGCCCCAGCCGCATGTTCCAGCCCCAGCGCCTTGCCTACGAGGAGGACACCCTGCGTCGCGAATTCTTCAAGGACCACCCATGGGAGCTGGCGCGGCCGCGCGTGATTCTCGAAAACGACGGCAAGGACGGCCAGGACTGGGACTGGAGCAAGATTGTGCAGCCGGGCAAGAAGCTGGACGGTGAGAGGTAAGAGAAAGAGAAAGCGGTCTTTGCTTCCATGACCGCGTCGTGCGCTGCCAATGGGCTTCCGGGGACGCGACCGCGAGCGCGGGACCCCCGGGGCCGGCCAACCTACGTCCATCATGCTAACATGACTCTCCCGCGCAGTGTTGTCCAACGCCAGCGCTGGCTTATGCACAACCAGGGTCTCTCCAAGGCCTCCGCCTACGACCAGGCCCGCAAGGAGTTCTACCGTCACCGTCACATGGAGGACATTGAGCGCCGCATTGCGCACGAGGAAGCCCTCCACACCGGCGCCTACTTCAGCAAGTCGCCTCTGGAAGTGGGTATGGAGCTGGAAGACAAGCAGTTCGAGGAGTGGAAGAAGTGGGCCCTCAAGGAGGTTGATGTGCTGCGCCAGGCCCAGGCCGCCATGTACAGCGGTATCGATAATGGAGAAGTCTCCCTGGACACCAATGATAATGTGGCGTTGGACGAGGCACTCTCGGAGGCTTCCGATAGCGTCCCGGCTTCGAAACAGGGTCAAACGGCGCGTGGTGGAGCGGCGATACACCCATGATAGAGAGGGGTTTGTATAGAGTTTTTGTATGTATATGTCACCATAACCAAGTGCTGGATGATGCTGCTGATTTGCTGTGTATACCTATTCGAATCTTTTCGGTGCGATGAATGGCTCTTTGCTACATGTATTGGAAACACTTCGTGACTATACGAGAGCAAGCTTACATTCGAAGCTGTAGTGCTTTATACAGATACGGTGACCCTCACTCACTTCCAGGTGTTAAGTTATTCGTCTGCCCGTAGGAGGTGTTGCACGAATATGCTTTAACAAGACTGTCTTCATATGAAATAACTGATATATCCGTATTTCTACCACACAACTTCTACATAAGTGACAGTACCAAACACCAATGTCCTTCCTTCTGGAAAGACTAAACCCCAAGGGACAGCACATGCAATGTCTAATTGTGTTCTATGTTCTATATCTGCTCACACCCAGTCCTTCTCCCACGCCCTCCGCTCAAGCCTGCTGCTCCCCAAGCCCAAACATGCCAATCGAGTTCTTCCACGCCGCCTCCACGACATCCTCGACGGGAATATCCTTAATACGCGCAATGACATGGGCTACAAGGGGGATCGTGGCCGGCTCATTGCGGCCCTTGACCATCAAGCCCTTAGCCCACCTCTCCTTCTTAACAGCCTTGGGCGTAGGCGGGGCGTCCTTCAAGAACTTCGCCGACGCGTGCGACGGGCGCATCTCGCACTTTAAGTTCGTCAGCAACCATCTCCGAGAAACACTCGTCAGCAAGAAAAATCGACTTACCCACGGCCCATCCGTCTCAATCTGCAGCCTATCCAACGGGATCTGCCGCACAACCTCGACGTTCTCCTCCGTCTTCAAACTACACCCATTAACGCCAACATGCAGCCCCAACGCGACCAGCCTCTGCATCTCCTCCACCGTCCCCGTAAAACTATGCACCAAGCCGCCCTTGGGCAGCTTCGGGAGCCGCGCACCCAACAACCGTTCAAAGTCCTCGGCCGCAGCGCGCGAGTGCAGGAACAGCGGCAGCTGCAGCTCGACGGCCAAGTCCAGCTGCGCCTCAAAGTACTTGAGCTGCGGCTCCTTCTCCGCGAGGTAAAAGCGGTCGTAGTCGAGGCCGATCTCGCCGAACGCAACCGTCTGGCCCGCGACCTTGGTCGTTTGCGCCAGCTCGCGCAGCGCTGCGAGAAGTGCGTCTGGGCCGCCTGGGTGCGCGTCGAACTGGTTCGCGGAGCAGGGGTGCACGCCTACGGTGGCGTAGCAGAGGCCGGCTGCACTGATACGTCAGCTCTTGCACACTCTCCTGGACAGCGGTAGCCCCCTCTCCTTTTCTCCTCGTCCAAGCTCTTCCTCGTCTTCGTCTTCGAACACAGCTCCCCTCCCCAGAACCAAGATAGACAGATAGGAAAGTAAGAAAAACAGGAAAAGACCACTCACGATGCTCCTTCGCAATGCGAACCGCATGCTCCGACTCCTTCAAATCCGACCCCGTAACCATCATCTTCGCGCACCCCGCCTCCTTCGCGCGCTCCAACACGCCCTCAAAGTCATCCTCATGCGCCTGCTTCCCATGATACACGCCACGGAAAATCGGGTCGCCGAGATTAATTCCAATCTGTGTGAGAGAGAAAGAAAAACGTCAAGTCAGCTCACGTGCGCCGCGCGCTTCTATACAGGACTATGCGCGGACCAACATCGCAGTATTTCAACGTCTTGGCTGGCGTCGACGCCCCCGTGATCCCGCCGCTCGCTATCGAGTCTGCTGCGCTGGCCGCCGCGGCGGCGTCTGTGCTTGCTACTGCGTTCGACATTGTGCTTGTCGTGTAGTGGTGGCTGATGCTTGGTGGTTGGGTCTTGATAGAAGGAGTGACAAAGCAGGGATTGTGTGCAAGGAATTTATATGACGCTCTCGGTGCCGCAGCGGTGGTAGTGAATGCGGATCTGTTTATCGACTTTAACAACTGCGCAAGTGCCCGATGTTGACTCATCGAGAGGTTGCGGTGTCGTGGTCAGCGTAGGAAAGTCTTGACGTCTTCGGCTCGCCTCAAAAACGGCAACCCGGCGTCAGCCCTACGGACGCCAGGGATCGTTCCGGGTAGGTGATTGGTGAGCCACGTGGGTAGGCTAAATCGGATACTATCTTATTCGGTGAAGGTGTGAGTCACTTCAAGTTCACACGCAACGAATACTAGGCAACGAATGGCTACTAGCGCTACCTTCATAGGTCATCATCTACGAAAAAAAAAAAAAAAACAAAGGGAACGGCTGTGGTATCTAGAAACCCCCGAAAATGTCCATCACAACCTGAGCCGCGGGCGCCTGTAACCCCGGAATGAACTGCACCCATGCGCCGTTACCATTGCCATTGCACTTTCCATTCGCCAGTGAAAGCACTGCTCAAGACCGTAAAGCCTCCACTCAGACCATCATACTACGCCTGCGCGAAGTCTTCCTTTCTGACTTCTCGCCCGTGGCAGACACCGTAGACGAGCTCTTCGTGTTTTTGGTGCTCACTTTTCTGTCCTCATTTTCATCTTTGGTATCATTGCTCTCTTTGGACACAGAGTTGATGGACGAGTGTCGGCGTGACGCTCTGACAAGGTCTCTGCTGCTCTTCATAATGGCGTTAGATTCTCTTTCGGCTGGAGAAGAATCGTTAAAGTCGAATATGGCAAGGTCCGCACGATCTCCCGTCTCTGCTTCGAAGGTTACTGCCTTCGAGGGCCTCCTTCGGCTTGAAGAAGACATCAAGTCTTTCATCGCCGTGGCAGACTTGGAAGGCCTTTCATCTGTCCGCTCTGGCTCCTTCTCCTCAGTCTCTTCCTTTTCAGTCGATGGCGCGGTTTTCTTGCTCAAGGGACTACCCGGCTCGGGCCGTGATGCTGCAGGGAGTGACTTCCATGCGGAATTGGGGTCTTCGCTTCTGTCCTTCTTGATGACGACCGTCCGCATCGGGTTTGCTGTTGAAGGAGCCGACTTCCCTTCAGAACTCGATGAACGTCTTCCGTCCACAACAGCGTCCGCCATCTCCTTCGTAGGCCTACGCATCTTGCTGACCAGGTTTGGTTCAGCATAGTTGACCTGAGCACGGGCGCGTCTTGCCTGGCGAATACCTACTGGGCCTTCCGAGTTGGCAGCAGCGGCATTTGGGTTCTCGACGGATGGTGTGTCCTTAGGTTCTTCGCGCGCAGAAGGTTCGGTGGATGGGGGAGAGAAGAGATTGAGATCTGCTGGAGTCTTCGGTGGCAGCTCTGCCGGCTCTTGCTCGACTACAATGTCGGCAGTCTCAATGGCGCCATTCATGTTCTCGGGCGGTGCAATAGTGACGGACGTCGACTTTGCCCTCCGCTCGCGGGCACGATTGCGACTGGGATCCTTTCCAGACAACGCACCCTTCTTTGATGGAAGCTTTTCCTCTGTACCGGAAGCCTTTGAAGTCTTCTTAGGCGAAGTGTTGTTGATGCTCTCTGCAAAATTGGTTAACATCGACTTTGATTTAAACAAAACAAAGGCGACGCTTACTAGATCCCAGGGCTTTCCGCTCAGCCGCGACGAGTAGGTCCAACTTACTAGGTTGTCTGACCGAGTTATCCACCGCGGCAACCGCATTTTCTCCCCTCTCAGCCTTACTGCTAGAGCGCCTGCTGAATCTGAATTCATCTCGTAGATCTTGATCTCCTGCCTCAGCACGCAAATCATCGCCGGTGGCACTGAGCTTACGCTTGGTACCTGCCCTCAAATGCTGGTTCTGGTCGGCCTCGTCCTTGGTGTTGGGTTCGCCGTCTTCCTGTGTCGGCTGATAACCGGACATTCTCCTGAGGTCGAGCTTGGTCGAGCTGTCGCGACGCCTCCTTCTCGTCTCGAGGTTGACCGAAAGAGCGGCTGGTATTTCCTCCTCGTCCTGGTGGACCGCATCCGGAAGTTCTTCATCTTTGTCCTCCTCCGCAGGCTTCGGGTCGAACTTGATGGGGTCTTCATCCGCAAAGTGGGCAACGGGTGGTGGGCCAAGGTCAGGCGACTCATTTGAGTCTCCAATTAAAGCTGCGCGGATCTCCTCGGAACTGCAAGGTGTTAGGTAGGAGCGCCATCGGGTTTTGAAAGGAGCTACTTACTTCAACGTCCGACGTGGATAGTACTTATCTTCCCTGATGGTCGGCAGGACCCCCTCCGGCTCTTCCATCTGTTCCTTCATAGATTGTTTCCACTCATAGATTTCACGCGAGCGTGACGGTTCGGTTGCCTCGGATGTCTTTTCGCAGGCGGGCTTTTGGAGCGACCCCAGCTCCGCAACCAGCCCACCGAGCTCTTGTATCTTGGCCTCGAGCTTGTCCTTGACCGAGCCAATATGCCGGACGGCATTGTGGCCTTGGGTGTTCTCTAGCTCATGCTGGAGCTGAATGACTTGTTCGCGGAGGGAAAGGTTCTCTTGCAGCAATCTGTTCTGTTCTGACTCGAGGCCTCGTATGCGGACGGACTGGTTGGAGTTGTTCCTGCAGAAACACCAGGTTAGACGTGCCAATGCAAGTAACAATTGAACATAGCATACTTTGCAAGTTCGCGATTCTGCCTGATGAAGCGTCGCTTCACTGGGGAAGCTATTAGCAGGCGTTGCTGGTTCGAGCGGGGTGTAAACATACAGCTCTCGATGGATTCCGCCGGCTGCGGAACCTCATTGAGTCGCGCCATACGCGCCGAATGAAATAGCGAGTAAAAGCCAATATGAGCGACTGCAAGACCGCGGCTGGTCGTTCAGCGATGCGTCACTGGCCGATAGTTGGGGGGAATGATGCAGTAGCTGGAGCTTGTCGGTTCGAGAAATCTCACCGAGCGTAAACAAGCGATCGCGCCGGCCAACGAGCTTCTCTCCACCCCGCCGGCCTTCTCCATCAACAACACATTATTCTCCGCCCGATCGTCTCTGCCCCCCACCAACCACTGCTACGCAACCCAGCGCAATGGACAAACGCCAGACTATCTCGCGCCCGCTCGCATCCCACCTCCGCCAGCAGTCCATGGGCGCTTCCGCGGGCGGCGCATCCCCCGCCTTGGTTGCGCGCGTGAACGAGAAGAAGGCCGAGCTCGCAAATTTGAAGGAGCTGCAGGCGCTCAGTGCGGGCCTAGCGGACCAAATGGAGACGCTCGAGCAGAAGCTGGGGACCCTCTCAGACGGCACCGAGGCTGTCGCCGCCGTCCTCTCCAACTGGCACAACGTTTTGCGCGCGATCAACATGGCTTCGAGTATGTCCATCTGCGCGCGATTGCGCATGTTTAGAGCAAGCATGGCTGACTATGCTTAGTGAAAATCCCCAAGCCCAAAGAGAACGAGGAGCAAGAAGGCGCAGGCGCAGAGGCTGGAGAAGAAGTCCCTCTGCCGCAGACTCTTGTCCGCATTCCAACTCAACATGCGGAATCTCTTCTGGAGCATACCAAGGCTGCCGAATGAGCACGCTTTCAGCGCGATTTCCATGATCTTGTCAACTACAGGCTACGCGTCACCAGACCCAACCTATGCCGAGCCAAGAGGCGCTTCGAGCGCCATCGTACGCTTGTCACGTCACGACACGAACGGACGCCAACCTTCCGCTTCTAAGCCGTCTCAATGTGCTACCCTCCGTGCTATTCGTTGTTGCATGCAGTCGGGACTGTAGTGTTGCCACAGCTCCGTTCAGAGTACACCATGAAGGAATGGTGGTGCTGTTGATAGCTCGAAGCGGACAGACGGAGCCAAGTATACTTGACCTTTAAACAATCCATGTTGGTCCAATAAGACCGATGGTCTGCAGGCGCTTGAGCTTGTGTTCGGCACGCCTTTTGGGAGAGGGGACTTGAAAGATAGCCCTGGTTGTAGAGTATGAATACGAGGGCATAACTTAATGCAATTTTGATAGGGCCCCGGATAATTTGCCCACCCCTTCTGGATATTCTGCTCACTCCACGTGATCACGTCCGCCGCCGTCAAGAGATATTCACCGTCTAGTGAGATAGGGAACGATACAAGCAGTCCCTATGGAGTACTTCTTGTCTAGCTATAAGCCTGAGTCCTTGATATGAGAGAGAAGGTTTTGGAACGCACAAATTCTACAAATACCTTGACCAAATTCTGTTTTATATTTGCATAAGAATTATTATCTCGTCAAAAGTATATGACTTACTCCTTACCCTCACATACCTATGTGCCCTTATTGTTCTATAAGTACTCTCCTACCCTTATCTCTTCTCCTTGTACCTTATACGGTACTTAGCACTCTTATATGTCCTTAGTGTTATTCGAACAGTTCAATACCTAGTATCGTTTTGCCTTTACATAATTACCTGGCACCTACTAACCGTAGCGTAGCAGCTCATTATAACTACCCAAGGAGCACTCTGTAAGTACAATAGAAGTTGCTTACTATACGGTTAAAGAGTGGGCAGATATCCTGGACGTTTTGGTAGTGAAAACTAGAACACGCTTTCTTCTTCTCCAGACAAACAAGAGACCACCCCCACAAGCCAACCTATTTCCTATAAGCAGACCCGCACGTCAAACTGTTCAGTCTCTTGAGCTCCTTCCTACTCAACTTCTTGGTATCAAACTCGCCCTCCTTCGGCCTAAACCCCTTGGCGTACCACTCCTCAAAATGTTCAAACTCAACCTTGTGATACGGGATTCCCAAATCCCTTGCAACGCGGTCGTTCCACATCTCGAAACTAAGTGCAGAAACGTTATCACGATGCATACCCATTATCTCTGTCTTGCGCTCCTCTTCCCGATCCAATCGCTGCTCCATGCGCTCGTACGCAGCATCATAAAAGGTTCTCTAGTTCTCACCGGGTCGCCCCGTACGTACGCGTCGACCGCCTATCCCTCTCACTGCCGCGATCTTCTCGTACGACAGCTCATAGCCCAGCCGATCGTAGAGGGGCGGCCCATCCGGCCCATTCTCGATAACCTGGTCTTCCAGATCATAGAACTCGTAGTGGTCGTCGCTGTCAGTGCTGTACTCATCATCGTCTTCCTCATCAAGGCCCTCAATGAAGCTCCTCCACGTGCCTTTATCCGCAATCTCGCCGTCCACGTCAACCTTCTCCCTCGCGAGCATGTACGCCGCCATCCAGATATGTAGCGCGGCAATATTGCGGCCGCCATTCGCGCGTTTGAGACGCTTCTGTAGCATATGTGTTTTTGCGCACACGCTCTTGTACTCCTTCAACGTGTGCCTAACCCGTCGCTGCCACCCTGTAGTTTTGGATTTGCCCTTCGGCTCATCTTCCCAATGTAGCCAGCGGTATAACTCCGGCGCGCATATAGGAATTATTTTTGGTTCAAAGAGAGCGAGCATAAGCGCAGCGGTGGAAGCATCGATGCCCTTGAAGCCCAGAGTTTCCATGAAGTCGACGGGGTTATTCTTCCAGTTGTTATGCCATTGCCGGAACGCGAATTCAGATTTCTGTTTGAAGCTGTCATCACCGGCGCTACGCAGTAAGTCGAGCTGTACGGTGCGAAATTGATCACGGTTGCTGAGGTTGGACGTCAGCGCGCGAAGCTTGTTAGGGGTATACATACGCATACTCGTCGGGGTTGATGTTTATCTTCCAGTTTGTAAGCTTCGTCAGCTCCTCTGATGTCATGAACCCGCCTTTGCTACCACCTTTTCCCTTTCTAATTTGCAGGTCTTTTATGAGTTCACCCAGACAATAGTTCTCGAGCACCCTCAACTCCGGTGACATCTGCCTCTCCTGATATCGCGCAACCAATTTGCCAATCTCCAATGGCGTTATCTGTGATGGTGTTAGGTTGGGTATATCAAGTTCGGCGTCAATTTTTGCTTTCCCTCTGGCTCTTTTCGGCTGTACCTGGTCGTCTTTTCCGACGTCAGTAGTGGCGCTCTTCCGCTTGCTTCCGGCCCTCGTTTTGCCTTGGGTAGGGTTTTCAGCACCTTCTGTACTCCATCCTTCCACTTCTTCCGTAACAGGGAGTTCAGAATCATCCCCTACGTAAACACTCTCTTTTCCAAACACATACGCCACTTTCTCAACAGCAAGTGCGTTGAACTCTCCAACGTCTTCTTTTGTCGACTCGATGGAAGACCATCTCTCATTCTCGAATCTCTTCAACTTTTCCACCAAAGACACATACTCTTTTTCCACATACGATATCTTTCTCTCCCATCCCTTTGGCTGACCAGGTTTCGTTTGCTCGTCCCAGTGCAGCCATCGGAACAGCTCGTCAGAGAAGAATGGTGCGTGCTGAGGATCAAGAGTCGAGAGGATCAAAGCTCCAGTTGCAACGCCAACGCCCTTGAGTTTGCAGAGCTCTTTCAGTGCGGCTCGCCAATCTTCGCGGTCGGCCAAGTAAATGCGAAAGGCGCTTCCTGTTGTTTCTTTAACCTCTTGGTCGTCATTCTTGCGGATGAGACTGAGCAACTGCGGACGGAATTGGCCATGCTTGCTACATTGTAGTCAGCTCAACAGTTGCAGTAAGACGTGCTGAATGGTGAATGAATGAGGCATCAAGGCGTTTGACGTACAGCTTCCATTCCATGAGCTTTACGATCTCTTCCTGTGACAGATGAATGTCTTTATTTGCCTTGATACTCTGGGCAAGTTTCTGAGGCAGCTCCTCTGTGCGGAAACTTTCGAGCTCTTTTAGCCCGCCAGGAACGTGCTTTTCATAGCACGCGTAGGCGTCCCAGAAATCAGATGGGGAGATCTCCCATGGCGTTTGCTTGGGCATTTTGGTTGGAGAGCGCAGCTACAAGTGTCAGGCACTAATCAGGAAGAGTAGAGTGCTAGGACATATGAAATACGGCGCCAGGTGCCGATACACCCGCGCGGATTGGGACGGACGGAACGAAGAGGATGCGAAACAATAGGCAATTTTACTCACCCGCCAGTCCCACGATCTATGTGCACTTGTTGATGGGGTGTAGTGTTGTCTGTGGTGAAGTCCGACTGGTGCTATCGCGACATAGGTGGACGCGTTAGTAGCGCGTACAGCAGCAGGGAAGGCGCGACCCGACCACGTCGATGCAATCCGCACCCCAACACCCGAGATTCTACCAAGAGACTTCATGCAAGCCAGAGGTGCACTGCACATAACCGTACCTATGTTGCAAACCGTTGAGCTGTCGTGAAACAAACTAGGTACTACCGTACCCTAAACCGAACCAAAACTCCAGCCCAGTCGTGATACCCCGGCAAAGCGCCATCCTTTAGACTCCAAGCCAGCCACGCTAGCCAACCCCAGGGTATCAAAACGCATACTCCATGAAAGCATAGGTGAAATCGCAAGGACCCTTTGCTCATGCTGCTTAACCCCTTTGCCTTTTCCATCGTCATCATTGTTCATGACTTCTCCGCAATCCTGCCATCTCTCACCACGCCGACGCTCACGCCCGCATCGCCGGCCATCCATCCAGGCATCTTTTCCCCGTCCACTACTCCCTGCTCGACCAGCTGCCTCACTCCAGCGAAAACATGTGAGCCCTGGAAGCTCAGCTTCACGTCGGGCCTCCACTCTGGATCCTCCTGATCCGCTTCCTCGTTTGCTCTCGCTGCGGTCGCTGGGAACGGGTCTTCCATCCGTATATCCAGTCGCTCGAGGCCTTGTCCATCATTCTCTTGGCCTGATGGGCCAAACCGGGCTTGCGCAATGCTCTTGCGCTTTTTCGTCGCCGCGCTGTCTTTGATGTTGCTACCATGCATGCGCTTGATTCCTGCACTGAAAATGCCTTTGTCCGTGTCTGAATCTTTATCCGCACTGGCCCGAGTATTCGACGCACGGCGATTACTCCCTACCGTATCGTAATCCAACGCATCGTGCCCAAAGCTGTTCTCTGCAAATATTGACCAACCTGCCGGTACAGCATTACTGCGGCCCGGACCACGCAGAGAAAGGAGGGTTGAAAGGGAGCGGGATGAGAGGGATGTGGTGGTCAGCGCATAGCGATTATGGGGCTTGGAGAGAGCTTTCGGCACTGCCTATGTTTATGCATCGCGGTCAATCACCTGTTGGGAACGCATGAATGTCTGCTCTACTCACATCGACAACTACCTTCCTCAATTCGCGACCCTCCGAGCCTACAGTCTGCCCCAGATGGGTTGCAAGAGATACGTATACATAGGGCGAGCCATCGGGAAAGACGAAAAAGACTGATTTGGAGCCATCAGAAGTAGCACCGGAAGCATCATGAACCAGGTGAGTGTACGGAGTGTCATGGATGTGCACACGCAGGAGTGAGATGCCGAACGACTTTACGCGCGTGATGTAGTAGTGTGCATTGGTGAGCGGTGCCATCTCGCGCTGCAGATTCAGTACGAATGTCGTCGCGTGAAAGCGCGGCAGGTTTGCGGACGCGCTATCGTCAATAATCTCGGTGCCGTCGCTTGCAGTCGCAGAGCCCTTGCCGGTAACTCTCGAGAGCTTCAACGCGTTCCAGCGCAATGAGTTTGGGTGGTCGAGAAGGTATCTCGTCTCGGCCATGGCCAACTGGTACAAAGTGACGCCATGCCTCCAGTCGCCCTCGAGGATGCGGTCTGCGACCTCCTGCTTTCCGCCCTTGCGGCCCTTGAGCTCATGGTACGCCTCGCGGATCTCTTCTATGCTCGTCGCGGCCGTGTATGGAGCCTCGTCGTCTTCGTCCTCGTCGACCGAGGTGGCCAGGTAGGGCCGGCAGTAGTCGCGGTTCTTCCGGTCGGTCCATTCGAGAGCCAATTCGATCAGGGACTGGCGCGTGAGGCGTTGGATAGCCTTGGAGACATCTTTGCTGCCAGGCGACAGGCGCAGAGTATGCGACAGCGCGGCGTTGGCGGGTACGGAGAGGGCAGCGTTGCGGGACATGGTGAAAGCTGCTGTTGGCGGTCGAACGTGTTTGGCTCGAGCTACTCGATGTTGTGGAGAGAGCAGCCCTAGCTAGGCCGGATACAGCCGGGAGAGCGTTATCGGCAGCGATCGGCGATAACCGGACATCGATTGCTAAGCTTGAAGCCAGTTGCTAAGCCAGATGGCCCACGTGGCTGCCTGAGGCGGCAAGCCTTCCGACTTCGTTGACAGTTAGATGGCTTTTCTTTGACCGCCGACGCCTCCTTTTGCAAAGGGCGGTCTTTTTTTCCCAGCGCAGCGACATCCTTGAAAGGCAAAGAAGGCCGTGTCAAGCCGCGGGGCGATCATCGGCGCTCCTATCGTTAACTTATCCCGATCATGCGAAAGTACCTGCAACGACGCGACGTGCAATCACCAGCTATCTTCACTTCTTGTTCTCCCTTGCTCGCATCCATCTGAAGCCTACTGTCGCCCATCTAGTTATCGCTCCTTGCGGACGAGCGATTCTGCGAGCGACCTGCCTGTGGATGTGGAAGTAGCACCTCCCAACCAAGGCACCGGCACCGGCACCCACACCTCTTTGTCCCACCTCCATCCGTTGCGACATCTTTACGGCACATTCACCTCAGAACGAATTTCCCATAGACCCGCCGGCTGTGCCCCGCAACCGATCGACAGGGCGCGTGAAAGATTAATCAGCCGACGCCTCCGATAAGGCCCGTCATCCCACCTACCTAGGTATTCTCTTCGCATACGACGACAACAACACCGTCCGCCCGCCTCAACATCCGCCGCGCCCGTGCCAGCGCCAGCAACGACGCCTTTCCCAGCGACATCCTAATGTCAGGCTTCGCCGCGGGCCGCAAAGGCCAGAACGTGTCGCAGTACCTACAAGGCCTCAACACCATTCCCACCCGCCGGGATATGGCTGCCCAAGACAACCTCGGTTTTGACGAAGACCTCTCTCTCTTCACTAACACCGAGTTCTTCGACTTTGACATTGGTACCGAGATTCCAGCGGCTTCTTTCGACTACGACGCAACGAACGAGCAGCAGGCAAGACGCCGTAACGCCTCCGTGTCGTACAACCAAGCAGCCAACCCTGTCGAGTTTCCTCTTAACGGTGAGTGTCTCACGACTTTTTCTTGTTGCATTTTTTGCGTTCTTGGCGTTTGCCGTTGGCAATTGTCCCATGTCCCCTTGTCTTTCAGTCGTTTGTCACGTTCTGCGCAAATCTCTGCAATTCCGCCATTTCGTTCAATTGTTCGCTTTCCCCCGGCTCTGAATCCACACCAATGGATTTTAATTCCGGCTTTGGATTGATCTGGCCACGCTACGGACCACTTAAGCCGAGTCGCGCCGCGGGACCATGCAAGATCCTAGACTGCATGTATGCGTGGGGGTAGGAATACCGAAGCACGCCATTGCCCGTGATCGTGATCGTCCTGAGTGTCCGAGCTGCCAACACCATCGACATGTCTCAAGTCTTGCGTTCTATACACTATTCAAAAATTCATTTGTACTAATGGGGTTTCAAGGCGACTTTCAAGGCCTCGACTTTTCATTCCCTGTTGGCGTCCCGGAACCCAACTTCCACCAGCAGAACCCGTACCCGGCCCAACGCCAGCCTGGTACCAGTAGCTCGTCCCCGCTCGCTGCGACCTCGCCAGTATCTGCCACCACCGGCAACAAGCGCAAGCTTGATGCCCTCACTACCACTCCTGGCCCCGCAACCGCCCAGTCCGTCGAGGACATGTCGCGCTATGCAGCCGAAGAAGACAAGCGCCGCCGCAACACGGCCGCATCTGCCCGGTTCCGCGTCAAGAAGAAGCAGCGTGAGCAGCAGCTCGAGAAGACGGCCAAGGAGATGACGGACAAAGTCTCGACGCTCGAGTCGCGCATCGCCCAGCTCGAGATGGAGAACAAGTGGCTCAAGGGCCTTATTACCGAGAAGAACGACGGCAAGGGCGTCGGCGACATGGCAAACCTTTACAAGAAAACGATCGGCACCACCGACAAGGACGAGCGGAGTAACGGCGAGCGCACCGATGGCGTCGGTACCAAGTCGGACAAGGCTTAAATTGGAAACGTCATTTTGATTTTGCCTTCTTCCTGCGTTTTCGCGTTTACTTTTGTTCTTGTTGGTGGTGGCAGCATATCTCGGTTCTTTGTTTAGTCCCCATTGCGCATAACCACATACGGACGGGCGGGATATTTCTTTGGCAGGGATGAAGGGGAGGTTAAATCTTTAACGTCGGGAGGGTTGCTGCTAGCGATGATAAGGGATCGACGACAATCTTCTGAGTTTACGCACGCACATGGTCACCTCAAACACGCACACACGGCACGCCAACTTGGACCAGCCGGGTGCCGGGGTGGTGGTGATGACTTTGTCCGTCTAAGACAGCCGCGCACGCCTCGCAGCCTTCCGGGTTGGCGGCTTGTTTAGCATCGATGAGAAATGGACTTTCTACAACAGTGTGCGTGTCCACTCATAGCTACTGGTGCTACTTTCTATCTATCAATGACGTCGTAGTGGTGGTGGTTGTGGTAGCCTCCGTTTGCAAATGCGCACCAAAAGGCACCGCCGCATTCATCGACGACGACGACGGACGCGAACGCCCGCCGCCATCACGGCGGCCGCCACGGGCACACCTCGTCTTCCTCGTCCTTGTCCGTCTTTCTTCCTTCCGTCTTTCTCCCCTCGTTTCTGCAAGCGCTCGGACGAGGCCGGAAGGGGGTCCGTAAGGGTTTGGTAAGCTCGCAATAACGCGCAGGACCCACACATATTGGTGGGAGCCGCCGCACAAAAAGGGCGCCAGAGGCGATGACGCCATCGGCGCCCAATGATCGAGACGCGCGGGCTGCGCGTGGCCCCCGCTGGGCTGCTGGGACGGGGCCTGTTTTGTGGGTGTGCGTGTGCGTGCGAGGTGGGTGGGACGGGGACGAGGCACGGCGGGCTCGCGGATGCGGGTTCGTGGTGCTGGATTGGATTGGATTGGATTGGACTGGACTGGGCTGGGCTGTGGGCTTTGGGCTGGGTGTGTGTGGGTAAGGCTTTTGCGAGGCACGCGACTGCTGGGCGGCCCGGGGAGGCGGTTCGGTGCTTGTGTGTGAGAGAGGCACTCGTATTGATGAGTGACGATTGGGGTGTAAGCTTTGGTGCCGCGTGAGGGGGCGTTGTGCGTTGATGCGGCGGGAGTGCGAGGTAACTATGGAGGCTGCTGCTGCTGCTGTTGCGTGCTATTGCGTTACCCATGGTAGGAGTACCTGGCTTTCGTCTGTCCGTCTGTCTGTCTCATTGTTTGACTGTCCGAGCGTCTGTTCTTCACTCATTCACTCGTTCATTCATGCGTGCTCCGCGGCATATATGCCCACGAGTAAGAAGATCTTCCTTCCCTACGGAGCCAGCCTCTCATCCCCTGCCATACTACCACATACTACCATATCCCCCTCCGTTAGGAGTAGGTTAGGACCCTTCCTCCTTCCTCCACTCTCCGTCCTCCGTCCTCCATCCTCCGTCCTGCTCCACCCCCTTCCCCCTTTCCGGCCTCAGCCGCCACGAACAAAGTCCACGACGTCGAGGACGACGTACACCGATGACGACCAGAGCAGCTCGCTTGCCTGCTGCCCCAGCACTGGCCGCCGCGTGTGCCCCTGTCTGCGTGCCGACTGACGTATGTTTATGCGTTGCGGCCGCTGCCAATGCCGCCCCGCTGCGTCTAGGCTAGGCCCGCGCTGCGGACGCGCGGTGATCGACGAGGGGCGGAGGTGGCCTAGGCCGGCGGCGGTGGCGGTGGTGGTGCTTAGGAGAGGAGAGGGAGTGAGGGGTGTTGGTGTAGTGGGCAGAGGAGGGATAGAGGTGGTGGTTGCTGTGGTTGGGTTAGGGACTGCTGCTGTAACTGACTAGAGCTGGCGGCTAGAAGGTTAAGGAGTGTGAGTATGATGGTGATGGCAGTAGTCGTGGTTGTGGGCGGCGGATAGAGCGCGTATACCTTGCTTATACACAGCAGTCTCGAGCGCCACAACTACCAGACGGCAGCAGCGGCTATGGCATCACAGGCCTGTCCTAGGGGCACCACAAGTACGGTACTCCACGGGTCCGGACTGTCAACTACCCCTCCCAGACCCAGGAACAGCCACTGTGCTAGGCCGGGCCGCGTGAGACGGATACAAGCTATGTGCCGGGCCTGCTGTCCAGACACTCTGGTTGGACACGATAACCGCACCATCTCGAGCGGTTGAAAGAAGGAGACTGCACGCCAGGCACCGGGGCCTAGAGCACAAAGTCGTTGCTGAACAGCCCGTACCAAATGCACTAGACGCATGCCCTCCCCGTGCGCAGCAAGACGTCCCCACATCTGGGATAGGTTTAGAGAATCCGGGGAAGTCGTGTCGATGTCCTATCTGAGTAAGTCTTGAATGCCGTGGTCAAAGCGCTGTAAGGTATTACTTATTGTCGAGACGTGATTCGACGGGAGTGGTGCTGTGGTGCGTTGGCCTAGTTCTGTTTCAATGGGCTGTTACAGATCCATCAAGCCTGTATCGACTGTTAGTCTTCTGTTGGGCAGAGTTCATCTAAACATGCTGAGATAGCGTCCAGGAACATGTGGCGACCTTTGTCCGGGCGTAAGTCAATGATCGCAGCTACGGAGTACTTTGCAACTGTCCGAACCGTTCATATCTACTTCGATTGTATTTCGACACACGCTTTTCTCGTCGGGCCTTTTTGTTGATTTTCAGTAATGCGTACAAGGACTCCACGGTTTCGACAAAAGAAAAAGGAAAGTTCGATGGTATATCAGACAGTGCTCCAATTTGTACAATGAAGCCAGACGCATCGGCCGAAAAAGAGATCTACGCCATAATACTCATGCCATACCAGCCGCTGTGCAGCCGCCATCCAATAGCCAATTTACTTCCTGTACCACATGCGGGTGATCTGTTTCGACGTCAGCCAGTGCTCCAATGCAAGATGTTCAAAAATCTCAGGTCGTAAACATACCTTGGTGTGCCTCATCTTCTTCTGCAGTTGGAAAATGCCGTACATCAGCGCCTCGGACGTGGGCGGGCAGCCGGGGACGTAAATGTCAACGGGCACGATCCTGTCGCAGCCGCGCGTGACCGAGTAGCTGTAGTGGTAGTAGCCGCCGCCGTTGGCGCACGAGCCCATGGAGATGACCCAACGCGGGTCGGGCATCTGGTCGTAGACCTGGCGCAGAGCGGGGGCCATCTTGTTGGTGAGAGTGCCGGCGACAATCATGACGTCGGATTGGCGGGGCGAGGCACGGAAAATGATACCGAGACGGTCCTGATCGTAGCGCGGCGTCGACAGGTGCATCATTTCGATGGCGCAGCATGCCAGACCGAACGTCATGGGCCAGAGGGAGCCCTGGCGCGCCCAGTTGGCGATTTGGTCGAGCGTCGTGCTGCACGCTCTTGGTCAGCTACTACTGTCCGGTTTGTTGCCATCTCCCACCCCGCATCCCTGGAATGCCTGTCTCGGCGAGCAGGACTCATTCCTTTCGCGGCAGCCGTGGTGTAGGGCAGACATACAGCGCGTATTGCACGACACCCTTCTTTCCCTCCTGGCTCGGGAGCGGCACCTCACGGCGCTCCTTCTTCATGGGCAGCGGCGCGCCCGGGCCGTCGGCGATGAGGCCGGGCCTCTGCATCGGGGTGGCGCTGGTCTTGCTCGAGCTCGAGATCCAGGCAGCGGGGGCGGCGCGGAAGGGCGTGAGCGCGGTGGCGGGCTTGACTGATGGAGACGGGAGCGCGTCAGTATGGCCGGACAGCGGGGAGCAATGGCTTGCTCGTCGAACGGAAGCGCCTCACCTCTGAGAGCCATTGAAGCTGCGGATCGAGTGGTCGACAACATGGTGGATCTTCTCTACGGCGGATGGACCGGGGTATGGAGAAGAAAGGGCGGAGTGGAGAGGGTCGGGCGAGAGTAGATGGCGGGTGGCGGACGGCCTGCGCTGGAACGACGTCTTCGATGAGGTCCCAAGATGAGATGGAGGGCGCGCATTGGCCTCGCTTACGGTATTATTCGAGCTCTGTTACGAAATGCAGATAGCTTCGATCTGATTTGATCGGGGCTTGTCCGTGGATTCGCCGACACCCAACTCCGTCCTCGCCGAACCCAGCAACCCACCCGTAAACAACTTGTCTTTCCGAGGAGCACCGTCCTCGGTCGTATGTAAATCAATCATAAGCATGGCAGGCCGCGTGCCCTCGATCGCCTGCATAGGCATTATCGGGAAACATGTATGTCGAGGCCGTCTCCTATCCACCGCAAGACCACGTCCCGCCGATAACTTCCCCAGAACAATCCTCTCCACATCTCCCTCTTCCCGCCCGAGGCCCGCGCTCCCCTTGAATTCTCCTTTCTTCTCTCCTCGTCCCTCGACATCTTCGAGGCTCGCCTGCCGCACAAGACGGCCGACCAGGACTTCGGTTTGCTGCAGGCCGTCGATGAGCGCCTGGCCATGTACGGCTGGATGACCAACACGGGCGTCAAGTTCGTTATCATCGTCGACATGGAGGGCCGCTCGGCCACGAGCTCCGACGCCAAGGTCACGGCCGCCGTAGGCCTACGGGATGCCGATGTGAAGCCGGTATGTCACTTTGCGTTGGTTTCGTCCCTGTTCTCGTATTGACGACGAAGTAGGCTTTCAGAGCGTTGCAGACGGCCTATATCGGTCTGATGCGTAACCCGTTCTATGACCCGGATCAGCATTCGCCTCTAACGGCAAATGCGGCGCAATCAGTTGGCTCTACCCAGATCACGAGCAGACGCTTTATTGACGAAGTGAAGAGAATCGGGGAGGGTTGGGCACCGGGCGTCTCCAATCTTTAAGTTAATCAAGTCCCAATCACGATAATAGCCTAAGTAGAATCCTTCGAACTAGACATCATAGCATTGCCCAGGGAACTATGGCCCTGTTGTCGACCATCTTATGAAACGGCCGTAAATCTGGTAGTTTGGATCTATGCGTTTGGCTTTATACTTTCATCTTGGCGAAAGATCTTAGAGTGCCAGTTCTCGATGCATAGCTTTGGGTGCGTCATGTGTGTCCAACGCAAACATAGCTCAACGGTGAATGAGGACGAAAGAGCTCATAGGTAACGCTGGGTATCTATAGCCGTGACAATGTTCTCAAAGAGGACAGCTCTACAGCTTGGACTTCACTTCGCTGTGGGCGCTGGCTTCACGGTTGAGCGTGACTGCGCCGGTGTTCTCTCCTTCGCCGAAGAAAATGACTTGGACCGTGAGATCATCCCTGTTACTATGTCAACTCACTGCAGTCTCTATCGACAAGAGGTAAAAGGTAGCTTACCTGTACCGTCTCGAGTAAGGGCTTGGCAGCGTCAGCAGCGCGCAAAGCTGATCTTGGTCTTTGCCGCCAAGCGCATTGCGCACCAGATGCGTGGCAACATTCTTATCTTCCACCACAAACCTCTCGTTCTCCTTTGCGGTGACGCCCCACTGCTGTTGTCTGATGGGCGCCCTCTGGCCGCTCTGGTCAACACTGGCACCATTCTTCTCGATTGGCAGGCCCTTCTGTTGGCCGAACCAGCCCTTTAACCAGGCGTTGGCAGTGCTTTGACCCTTCTTGGCTTCAGCCTGAGCATCCAACCATTGACCCACCAACCCGACAACCTCTTCGTTCGTAAGCATTTCCCATAGTCCGTCGGTAGCCATGACGACAAAGTCGCCCTTTTGGGGCTCGACCTTAGTAGTCGTGACGATGGGCTCGGCGGTAACGTAAGGAGGAGTCTTGAGAAGGGCTGGAGGAGTACGGCCAAAGTAAATCTCTTTGATTTTCTTCTGTGTCTCTATGCTCCACTTGTAGACGGCATCGCCAAAGGCTCTAGAGGGTTCCAGGCCGCCGAGAATGCGACCGTTTCTGGTCACATACGGTTCATCAGGGTGCTCCTTGCGGAGACGTGCCGCTTCTTCCTCGTTGCTGCCCGTCTGATCGGTCGAAAGGGCAGTGGCGGACCAGTTCCCGCTTGATGTCCTTCTGCCAAGCACGGCACGTGAATCACCGGTGCATGCGACCCGGAGAAGCTTGGAGTTGCTGTCGTAGAACGAAAGCAGACCGCAAGATCCAGCCAACGCGGGAGCCAGTAACTCTGCAGCAACACGCTTTGACTGTGCTTTCATGACTTTCTGAACCGATTCGTTTACGATTTCATTATCCAGACGAAGGAAACCGGCCTTAATGGCTTTGTCGATGGACTCGGACGTGGGGAGCTTGACCGCGGGGTCGGCGACGGCAGATTTGTACGTAGAGTTGAGCTCACGAGCAACGAAGGAAATGAGCGAATTACGGAGTTTGGCAGAAGTGATCCAACCGCTATAGGCAGTGTGTGAGCGACAGTATTCGCTTTAAAGTCGTGGGTGGTCGACTTACCTGTGGCCATCAAAGACACCCCAGAACATCCAGTCGCTGTTCGCAGATCCATCCTCTGTCGAAGCTACGCTCTGCGGAACTTCGATGATCTTCTCCGCGTGATCGTCCTCGATTGGGTCATTGCTGGGTATCTGCACGATATCGTAGCGAACGACACCTTTGCCCCTGCCCACGAGCCAGGACTCTTCATTCCTCCTCAGCTTTGATGTAGCCTGCTCTGGGGTCAGCATCTCGAGGACTTTGCGTCCGTAGTCGTCGGTGTCTTTTGCAATGGGCGCGTCGCCGCGTATGGTACCACTGAAGATACTGTCGGGCGTGGCGACCAAGACACGACGGGTGGACTCGGTCAACTGGTCCGCCGATGGCCCCTCTGGGTTTGCAGTGCTAACTACACTGGACGAGGTCAGGCCTCTAGTTTGCCCGCCGGAAACTGAGGCGGAAGACTTGGGAGAGGCCCCGTCAACAGGATTGTCCGAGTCTCCCTGGAGAGCGTAGTAGGCGCCCGTGGCGACAGCGGTCGATACCAGCGCGTATCCAAAGCTCCGTAGATGCATTGAGGAGTGTAATACCTGGGATGATGCACGCCCAGTCCGCGATGAGAATGCTCGAGCACCTAGTACATGGCTGGAGCCAACGGAGGTGCCAGGCCGCGCACGAGCGAATTTACGAAGGGCCGGGCGGCGGAGCGTTCGACAGGCTTGGATAGCTGCCCGACGCATTTGGACTGTGTCTGACCGACTGTTGGACTCCTGGGATGTCAGAAGTAGATGGGGATGGCGGTTGATGCGCGGCTCAAGCTGGTCCGCGGCCGTTCCGTGTTTCTGATCGCCCGCTGATCCGGGCGCGAGCACCCCGCGTCATAGGTTGCTTTTGCGCTTTGTGTGGCGCGCAGTTGACACCCCACCAAATCTTCTCTCTTTCCGTCAAACTTTCTCATTTCCCACGCCGACATGTCTGCTCGTGCTTTGCGAAAGGCTCAGCGTGAGCTAGAGGAGAAACGACAGCAGGAGCTGGCTGCGCAACGTGCGGAAGAGGAGGAAGACTCAGAAGAAGAGCTATCCTCCAGGCCGCAGGCGAAGCCCAGCTTGTTTGCGATGCTAGGAGGTGACGACGATGATGATGACGAGGAGCAGGATGAAGCAGAGGAAGCTCTCGCTGCTCGCGAAGAGAGCGAAGAAGAGCCCGCCACCACACCGCAACCCAAGGCAACAAGCGCGAAGCGCAAGAAGAAGAAGAAGAAGGGCAAAGGCGCTGCCAAATCCGCAAACGAAACACCTACCCGCGACTATACCGAGACCTCCCAGCTCGACGAAATCGACATTGCTTTGCGCTCCCTCAACGTCACCAAACCCGGCGGCGACGCGAAGCCGACAGAGGAAAGCTCCTTGGACCCGTCCGTCCACGAACTATACAAGCTCTTGTCCATCGATTCGCAAAGCCTGCATGCTGCGAACGAGATGCGCCGTCTCTTTGGGCGAGCGGCTTTAGAAAGAGATGATGACGAAGCTGCTCCGGGCGGGCGGCGAGGCAGAGGTGCACAGCAGATGGGACTGGCTGGCGCCGTGGCGGGCCGCAACATGCCCGGAGGTCGCGGTTTGGCTTCTCTGGGCTTGCGGCGGAACCTCTTTATACAGGGCAAGGAGGAGTGGCCCCGGGCTACAGCAGGCGGTCTCGGCATGGAGATCGTAGAGAAACGCGCAGACGGCACAGTGGAATATAGGTTCGTGCACAATGGAGCATATCAAGATGTGCAAAGGCAATTTGAGTCTTGCGTGGCCTCTATGGACCCAAATCGCATGGTCCAGCTGCTTCAATTCAATCGTAAGGATCAATTTGAGAAACAGCATGGAATTACTTCTCGCTAACTCATTGCAGCATACCATATTTCAACCTTGCTTCAAGTATCCGAAATCGCGAAACAAGAGCGGGATCACGCGACTTCGGGAGACCTTCTCGAAAGAGCTCTCTTCTCATTTGGCAGAGCGGTTCACTCAACTTTCTCGAACAATCTCACTCAAGGCAAAGCTCGATTCGACTTCCGGAGACCAGAGAACCGCGAGTTCTGGCTCGCTGCATGGCGCTACGTCAGCAACCTTGGAATGCGAGCAACGTGGCGTACCGTGTATGAGTGGGCTAAGCTTTTGCTGAGCCTTGACCCAGAAAATGACCCATTCTGCGTCCGACTGGTCATCGATCAATTCGCTTTCCGTGGACGCTCTCAGCAAGATTTCATCAACCTTGCAGAGAGCGAGTTCTTCAAGACCCGATGGCAACACTTGCCGAATGTTCAGATGACCCTGGGTCTGGCATACGTGCAGACGGGCAACCGCAGCAAGGGGCAGCAGAAGCTATTTACGGCCATTGGCCGCTACCCTTGGGTAGCTGCCCGCCTGTTCCAAGAGTTGGAGTTGAACGACACACCACCAGGCATCTGGGGGAAGCAACCACGCACGCCGTACGAAAACCTCGTCACGGAACTCTACGTCGTTCGAGCAAAAGACGTTTGGAACACGCCAGAGGCTAAGAACTTGCTCGTCGAAGTTGCTTCAGCTGTTCAACCATCAGCGGCGGCAGCGGTCGAAGCGGATCATCCTATTACGAGAGACGTCGCTCGTCATACCATTCTCACGGACAACCCAACATTAATTAGTCTCGTCCCAAGATCGTTGACGTCAAAGGTCGCGTCAGCGTCCGATCCTCTACCCCCTGAAGATAATATGGCATCCTACGATCCCAGCCCTAGGGCAGCAAATCCTCGTCGTGCGGCCCAGAACGAGGCTGAGATAAGACGGGAGTACAGCACGCTACGAACCTTTTTCCAGAGCATAATGCCCTGGTTCCGGCCTGATGCGCCAGAGGGCGGTGCGGCTGAGGCAGCTGAAATGCCCACCGAGGAAGAAGTGGAAAGGCGCATTGTGGAGTCGGGGATCCCGTTTCAGGAATTTTGGGAGAGGACCGAGAGGTTTGCGCAGCTGCAGAACGCAATCGACGTGATTGACGGCATGGAACGCGCACCGGCCGAGCTGCCGGACCTGGAGACGATGCAGGCGCAGAGTCTGGCCGAAGCTGAAGCTGAAGCTGAAGCTGAGGGCGGGGGCGGAGATACAGCTCGGGACGATCGGGAGCAAGAGCACTGAGAGTCTGAGGCTTGGAGGAGTGCTTGGGACGCTGAGTGGTGTCGTACATAGGGATTTTCACATGGCAATCAGCGTGTCGCGACGATTGTTTGAAGCCACAAGCCACACAAGTTTTAGAGAGCGTCCGCGGTTAGGCCGGCCGTGGCAGGGGTCTTGCTGGCGAGAGGCAGACCCTTGTCAAAACACCTGTAATCCATATCCATTGCCTTCCGCCCGCCTGACGTCGCTCATTCCTGCCGCGTCAGACACGATGATGGGCTTGACAAGTCACACGTAGATTCGCGATAACCGTTGCCACAACCTGCGACACGCCACCCGCGCTTCCGCACGCACGCCCGCCCGTTTGTTTGTATCGCCGTTGCCTCTGAGCAGGGGCTCCACATTCCCAGCTCTCTACTTCTCATTACCACCGGCCACAACTCCGCTGTAGGTGCTTCCCTTCGCAGTCCCTTGCTCTTCCCTCTTGCACCCCCACTCTCCTCGAAAAATGCAGTCGCGCGATCACAACCCCGCCGTCTACTGCACCCTCACGTCGGCCGCAATGAAGGTCAAGGGCCAAGGTCTCCGCAGGCGGCTAACATGGAACGGCAAGACAATGCGCGCCCAACTCGCTCAGCGCGCCACCCGCATGCGCAGCACCTCCCTCAGTGCCGTGCCTCCCCCTCGCTCTTCCGCCGAATATGACCATGAACTCGCCAAGATAGCCGCCAGCGTCCTCTACCGCACGCCTATTCCCTCCGAATCCGAACTCCCCATCTACATCCTGAACGCCGCCGCGCTGCCCGACGTCGAAGAGGCCGACTTTGATGCCTTGCTGCCGTACGTACTCGCAAGACTACCGGGTGAGGAAGAGCTCTTGAGCGGAACCGAGTATGAGGTCATCTTCTTCGCAGGCGGCGACGCAGAGCGCGCGGCCGGTGTGAAGAAGAACAGACCTGGGTGGGGTTGGTTCATCCAGGCGTACCATGTCCTGAGCAGAGCCATGCGAAAGAGGCTTCAGAAGCTCTACATTGTTCATGAGAGGAGTTGGGTACGGATCCTGGTGGAAATGTTCTCGACTATTGTTAGCCCGAAGTTCCGGAGAAAGATTGTCCATGGTAAGTGCCCCTGGTCCTGTGGAAAGAAGGTTGCGAGCACTGCGAGCGAAGGCTTCCTGCCGCAAAGCAGGGAAAAGACATAGACCCTGAATGGGTGGGGGCCCAGATGCCCACCCGTCCTACGATTAACTCCCCGTAGCTTTCGCTTGCGTTGACATCACAGTAGTGCTTTACTGGATCAAAGCTAACTAACCACGACAGTCTCTACACTCTCTCAGCTCGCCCTGCACCTGCCCATCGAGGACCTGCTGATACCACCATCCGCTTACCTCCATGACAGGCGCTTGTTGTCTGACATCTACGCACCGTATGCCAGTGGCCGAAGAGCTTTCGGTGTGCGACAGCCCCTTCCCATGAATGCGCAAGGGGAGACAAGGCTGCCCCGCGTGTTGCGTGAGACGACCAATTTCCTGCTTCTGGATCCAAACATCAAAACAGAAGGTCTTTTCAGGATACCACCCCATAGTCGTCTGAAGGAGATTCTTAAAGAGGCGTACGACCGCAGCCAAAAGTTCATTATCTGGAAGGAGAACGGTTTGACTCTGCCCGTTCCAGCCTACAAAAGCGCGCAGGACATGCAAGCGATCATTGATGAAGTTGACCACAAAGACGCTTATGGTGTCTATCTGGCAGCCGGCTTGATCAAGACGTGGTACGCAGAGCTGCGACAGCCGATCTTCCCCCAAACTTCCTACAAGGAACTGAGAGCCCACTTCGGCAACCCTGAAGATCTTCCGACGACGGAGCAATTGGCAGAACTTTTTTCGCCGACTTCTGAGTGGTCACCTATACCGGTGATATCACGCGAGATCTTGGTGCGGCATCTTCTGCCGCTCTTGAGCATCATCTCAGAGCATGAAGAAGAGAACAGGATGAGTGCCGAGAACCTGGCCGTATGTTTCGCGCCGACGCTTCTCCACGGGCCAGACCAGATAGAAGATGCCAAGGTATCTTCAATCGTGAGGCGTATCTTAACCGAAGCGGTGGAGCTCTGGTCGGAAGAGCTCCGTGCGGCCTGCGGCGTGGACGCGAGTGCCTTTGGACGTGAGTTGCGTGCCCCTGCGGACCCGCGGGACTACGAAGATCCTCTGGAGACTACCCGTAGACCCGCCTCCAGTTCGTCCGATTGGGGCATCGGCTCTCCTTCCGAGGAGGACGCGGGGTTTGCAGACTCTGAGAAGCAGTTTACCGGTATTCTGTTGGAGGACAACGAAAATGGGCGCGATGCGCCGCCAGCCCTGCCTCCTCGACCCTCGTTGTCGGGGCCTAGTCAGGAGAGTCCCGTGAGTTCGGCAGTCAGCGAAACCCCAGAATCCGCACTTAGAAGAAAACCAGCGCCCTCAGTCACCATCCCACCCCACTACTCATCCATTCTAGCCGACGAAGCCGCCGGTCGTCCGGTGGCGACCGATTCACCACTTACGTACGCCGCGACGACCGATGGTTTTGGCCCTGCCCGCAGGTCAGGGTGGAGCGTGGATGAGAAGAAAGAGGATAAATCGAGAGCCAAAGGTTCGACTACTAACGTTCCTCATATTATTGTCCCTCAGCGCAATACCCTGACCGCGGAGCAGATTGGTGAGCCGAAAGGCGCCCCCTCTCCCGAGTCTGTTGCACCGACGCAACAGCAGCAGCAGCAGCAGCAGCAAACCTTTTCAGATAGACGGCCGTCGCAGAGTAGCAGGATCGCAGGACCGCCTCAGCTCGCGGATTTGATCGGCGCGTCCATCCATCGCAAACCGGTGCACTCGGGCACGTCGAGGCCGGGGTCGAGTGACTCGAATAGTAGAGCTAGAGAGTCCCCTATCAAGATGGAATCTCCCAGTCTGATGAGTCCCATGAGCATTGGATTTGACAACAACAGCCGCCGTCCCTCCCTTTCCCCTCAAGACGCTGAATTCCGCAAGCCCGATCAGCCTGCCTCGTCTTCGCGTCGCCCTTCACTAGACAGCAGCGGCATCGCCTCGCCAGGTTCAGAATACACGCCCGCAGGAAACAGCCGCCCGCGCGGCCCGACGATCGCGTCACTCGCGCGCCCCGTGCTGCCCACGACAACACCCTCGCCCAACAACATCCCGCCCGGCGCGCCACCGAACCGCGCCGCGACAATGGCGGCCAGCGAGGTCGCGGTGCCAAAGGTTAAAACCATGTCCGAGAACCTGCTGAAGCGGATGCCGAGCTTCGAGCCGCCGCCGATTCCAAAGGACGACAAGGGCGTGAGCAGGTTGGATTTGAAAAAGAAGAGCGTGGATGATTTGAGGAGGCTGTACGAGGATCGAACGGGGACGGCGAAGAAGCTGGTTAGGCTGGGGAACGAGAAGCAGGCTGGTACGCTGTGAGGGGCTTGTTGCTGTTGCTGCTGCTGCTGCTGCTGCTGCTGTCGTTGTTGTTGGTGCTGGTTCTTTGGGCTTTGGGTTATTGTTTCCGTTCATGCTTGACGAGTCTCTTTTTCGGTGGGAGGTTGCTTTGCTTCTTTTCTTTGCGCATTTATTATTGATACCTCAATTTTTGCGAGCTTCGAGACGGCGCGTTCGGTTGTCTTCTCCTTAGGCTTAATAATATTTTTGGTAGAGGCACACATTCTTTGCTTTGTGGTGATGGTGTTTGGAAGCAATAAGGTAGGTAAAGTATGCAGGCTTTGCCGACAACTCCCCAGCCCGTGCAGAACAACCCCGCGTGCCCATCTCCGTACTATCTATTCCCCGACGTAGGTAGTAATCTCAGTACATGGTTAACCAGTGAGCCAATCAGCTTCCACACCCCTTGCCTACCTACCGACTTACTTCATCGCCATCGCATCAAGCGTCTCGCGAGGACCTTATCACGAAAGCATAGCATAGGCAGAGCAGAGCAGAGCAGAGCAGCAGAAGAGAATGAACCAAACAAACACTTTTCATGCACGCACGCACGCCTAGCTACCTAAGCCACACTCGTTACAAAAGAAGCAACCAACCAACCGAAGCAAGCATCAGCGCGCCCGGGCCCAGCGCGTCCCACAAGTAACCAACCAACCAACCAACTAACGTCGTAGAAGTCGTCGTCATCAACATCATGCCGTGCCGCGCATCGCGAACCGAAGACCGAACCTGGAAAACCGGGATCGCGGGGAAATGAAGGAGGGAAAGGAAAACGGGAATAGGAAAGGAAACACGCGGAGGGGACTAGGGGCGAGCTAGGTACCTATTACCACGCTGGCTCTCCGCTGCTGCTGCTGCTGCTGCTGCTGCTGTCACCCCCCAACTACATACACACGCGCCTACTCAACCCCCGCCGCTACCTACTCCGCCTTCCCGCCATCAACCCTCTGCGCCGTATCCGCGACCTCGCCCGCGACATCAGCGCGCTTCCTATCTTCCTCACTCCCCGCCGCAGGAGCAGGAGCAGCACCCTCAGCAGCGCCCGCAACGTCCCTCGCAACAGCAAGCGTGCGATCGGGCCCGCCAGCCTCAGCCGCACGCACGGTGCCGCTCTTGTCGACGACGAAGACGCCGCGCACGGCGCCCTTGGGCGTCTTGGCCAGCCCGATCGCCCGCAGCAGCGTGTTCTGCGCGTCGCACAGCAGCGTGAAGGGCAGGTTTTGCTTGGTTTTGAAGCTAAGGTTCGCTTTGGGACTGTCGGCGCTGAGGCCGTAGATGCTGTAGCCGGTGGCTGTGAGGGGGGTGTGGGCGTCGCGGAAGAGGCAGGCTTGTTTCGTGCCTGTTTGTGGGGTTAGTTGGGGGATTGGTGGTTTGGTGTGGTGGTTTGGTGTGGGGGGATTGGAGGGTTTGCGGGATTGGGGTTGTGCTGGTGGAGTGGATAGAGGCTACTTACATCCCTGAGTCGAGGCCTTGGGATACGTAAACAGGACGACGCCGGCTGCGCTCTCGTCCACCAGCTGCTTCAGCGACACCTTCTTGCCGTCATGGGTCTCGATCTCGCCGCCGAAGCCGTCTAGCTCGATCTTAGATCCCTTTTCGGGCTTGCCAGCGGGGGTCGTCGTCGTCGTCGTCGTCGTCGCGCCATTGACAGCGCTGGCGACGGCGTCCTGCACCTGCGTCGCGGCCTCTTGCACTGCGTCCTTTGCGTCGGTGGCCGTCTCGGCGAGCACGTCTTGCGCCTTTGCGGCGTCGGCCTCCGTCACTGCTTCTTTGGCTTTTTGGGCCTTGGAGCGCGGGCCCGGCTTCTTCTTGGCGGGCTTCTCGGGCTGCGGGGGCGGCGTCTTGCGTTTGCGGAGCTCGACCATTGTGAGGGTGGGGGTTTTGTTGCTTGTTTGCTTGCTTGTTTGCTTTGTTGGTTGGGTGGGTGGGTGGGTGTTTGATTGATTGATTGATTGATTGCGAGTCGAGAGGCTTGATGGATTGAGGTTGTGGGTACGCGGGTACCGGCTGGTGTTGCGTAGTAGTGGTACTCTTGTAGATCGGTCAGCTGCTTGGTGTCACGATAAATGGGCGGAGAGGGTCGCACTACGTCAAGCCTGGAGGAGGGAGAAGAAGAAGAAGAAGAATGGCAGCTGACAAGAGAGGTAAGAGAGAAGAGGGAAGAAAAAAAGGCAAATGGCGAGGTGGGGGAGTGAAGAGAAGAGAGAGAGAGGGAGCTTGGGGGAGCTTGGGCGGCGGCGGCAGCTTCTCCACCTCCCTCTGCATCCGGCGGGCCCTGAGCTCGCCATGTCGGCGGGCTAGCCGGTTTCGAGGCCGCGAATGGCGCAGCTGATTGGCCTTGGGGGCTGCTGAGGCTGTGAGACGGGATCGCACCGTCGCTTGCGGATCTTGGACGTTTTGCTCTGGAAAATACATGGCCGCTTCATCATAGTCGAACCACTGCCGCCCGCCGATCTGCCCTCTTCTGCTAGAGCAGAGTGCGCAAGCTTCCTTCATCCTGCTATCGCGATCCATCACCATCATCCTTTATCCATCACGTGTGTGATGCCGCCAATTCCCACGGATGATGACATGTTATGTTGGTCGCTAGGTGGGTGGGTGGTCACGGGGCCTCGACTGCCCGCCCGCGCTAGGGACCGGCCCGTAACCATGGATCTGCCGCTGCGACTCTCGTTGTGCACGTTGCAACTCTTCAAATCATCATCTCTGATGCCAAGTCGTCCTCAACCCGGAGGTGCATGCGACACTTCATCGACTGGTGATTGCCATTCTACACCAAAAACATGGGCAACTCTCCGGATAATTACTCTACTAGAGATAATACACTAAAATGATTTTTCTTCATCGTAGTTTATACACCGGTCAAAAGCTGTCCCTGGGAGAGAGCACGACTAGGCGCCGGTAGAATGATGAAGCTCCACGGCACAACGTGCCATCCAACAAGGTCCCTCACACTACGTTTCCCCAATTTCAGAATCAACTGAACCCTGGATCCCGCTTCTCTACTATAAATGTCTGTCCCCACACCCCGCATTCCCTTCTAGTTACTTTCTGCCTTGTTCCTTAAAGTAATACTCTGAAATTCTTACTTTCTGTATACCGTCTCCATGCCAGGAATTCTGAATCTCCAGAGAAATAGGTCGAATAGGCGGTCCGACGCGACAGCTGAATCGGCCAAGAAAGACGATCCAGAGGTTACGCTGGAGCCGCGCAGGACTGAGAGCAGCACGGCCGAATCGGCAGCGCACGAGTTGAACAGAAGAGACCGTAGACCCGAACACTTGGAGAAGGATGTCGAGAACCAACGTGACGATGCTCAGGTACGCGTTTTCCAAGAGATGCTTCGTCTCCCAGAACTCGGTCCTGACCTTCGAACAGAATGCCAACGTCAACCCGTTTGGAGAAGAAGATGCAAACGCAGAAGTACACTACCGAACGATGGAGTGGTGGTAAGTTGCTCTAGCCAACATCAACTCATCCCCTGGTACTAACGACACTATCACAGGCACGCAGGCGCACGTAAAGATCCCCCAAGCGTCCCGCTTCGGCAACCACCATAACCCCAGCTAACAACCCCAAAGTAATGCTCGCAGAAACCATCTCCCTAGGCGTGCTATCGCTGCCCGCAGCCATGGCAACACTAGGGCTCTTCCCGTACGCCTCTCCTTCCCAGCAGCATCTCCCTAGCAAGCACTAACCGCCTCTCCAGCGGCATCTTCCTCATCATCACCCTGGGCATGATGTCCACGTACACGGGCTACGTCATCGGCCAATTCTACCAAGCCTACCCGAGCACGCACTCCTACGCCGATGCGGGTATGCTTATAGGCGGCCGCGTCCTTAAAGAGATCCTCGGCGTCGGGCAGTGCTTGATCCTGATCTTCCTGATGGCAGCGCACGTGTTGTCCTTCTCTATCGCCATGAACTACCTCACCGACCACGCGACCTGCTCCGTCGTCTTTGGGTTCCTGGGCTTCATCGTGTGTCTGCTGCTGGGCCTGAAGCGGCAATTGCAGAATGTGGCGTACCTGTCTGTCACATGTGGGTGTTTTGTTTTTGCTCCTCTCTGCACGCACTTACCCCCGCCGTCCCGGCCGGGCTTGTAAATCACAAGAGTTGATCTGACACGCACGTTCCCAGCCTGCCTCTCCGTCATCATCGCCGTCACAGTCGCCATGGTCGGCATCGCCGTCATCAAGCCCGACGCCGGCCGCGTCATAGCCATCAACCACGGCTCCAGCTTACACAACGGCACAGTAGCAACGCTCCAAATCATCATCGCCTACGGTAAGCCCGCCCCCCTCCCAAGCAGACCGCAAAAAGCAACCAACTAACACCCTCCTTCCCCCACTCAGCCGGGCACGTCGCCTTCTTCGTCTTCAGCGCAGAGCTCAAAAAGCCCGCCGACTTCCCCAAAGCGCTCCTCTTCATGCAAGGCGTAGCAACAACCTTCTACGTCCTCGTCGCCGTGCTGATCTACTACTACGCCGGGCCCAACGTGTTGGCACCCGCACTCGGGAGCGCCAGCCCCGCCGTAGCAAAAGCCGCGTTCGCGCTCGCGCTCCCCACCATCATCATCGCAGGCATCATCAACGGCCACGTCGCGGCCAAATACCTGTGGGTGCGGCTCTGGCGCGACGTGTGGAAGCGGCCGGCAGCACTGCACACGCGGCGCGGGTGGCCGCTCGCGACGTGGCTGGCGCTGTGTACCGCACTGTGGCTGCTCGCGTGGGTCGTCGCGGAAGCGGTGCCCGAGTTCCAGATTCTGCTAGGTCTGATCTCGGCCCTGTTTGCGAGCTGGTTCAGCTATGGCCTCCCCGGCGCGCTGTGGCTGTATTTGCATCGTGGGCGCTGGTGGAAAGGTGTTGGTTGGCGCAGACGTGCGTTGGCGGTTTTGAATGCCCTGGTTCTGCTCCAGGGAGCGGCGATTTGTGGGTTCGGTCTTTTTGCTTCGGGCGTTAAGTTGGGCGAGATGGGCGGGAGGCCGTTTTCTTGTAAAGATAATTATAGGCCGTAGGCTTGGGCGGGTTCGGGGTGGGTTTGGGGTGGGTTGGTAGCTGCTCGCTGTGCGTGCGCTGGTTCCGCGTGTACTTATTTACTTTTCTGCCTAGCTATGTATGTATCAAATGTACCAAACTACGAACTATGGCTTAGTACGGAACCGGTATAGGTACCCACTGTATATATCGGTATACACAGCCTTCCTTTCAACACACCTACCTACCCAGGTAGGTAGGTACCTCTCCAGTCTCTTGCTCAAAGGAACCTTAGTCATCTTCAAACTTCCTGAGCCGAGCTTGTCTGCAGCTTAATCCACGCAGAGTCACTTGAGGAGGAGGTGTTGCGGGTGCTGGGCGCGGGGGTAGCCGAAGCGGCACGGTTGCTGCTTCTGCAGCAAGCAGTAGGGAGTGCAGCGGTGCAGGTGGTAGCAGCGGAAGATTTCTTGCGCTGCGCTGCGAACTGGATGCCACGCAGGACGGATCGCTGGTCGGGTGGGCAGCTTTGCTGTTGTACCTTGTGCCTGGTATGTAGTAGGGGAAAGGGCGAGTGACGCGGCTGTGTGTGTGCGGCTGGGCTGTGGCGTCCCCCATTTGGAAGTCTGCTTCTTCAGTTGTCGTGGCTGGAATGCAAGCGGTTGGTTTTGGATACGCTAAGGGCTGTGGAGTTTGCTTTTTAAGAGGTGTTGAAGATACTGTTGGCACTGGGTCTTTGTGGCTGGTTTGCGCGGATGGAGACTTCGGGTTGTGAGGCGGAGTCTGAGAGTTGTTAAATACTAGTTTAGGTTTATATGTGTCTGGGTATGGGATTGGAGGTAGAGGAGTTGATAATTAGGACTCGAGTGTTGGAGTTATGTCGTGGAAGCTGAGCACGTACACTGTTAAACTTGAAGACAGATAAAGATTCACAGCTTATTATAAGGGTGTTGAAAGCCTCTTTGCCCAAATTAAAGGGAAAAGTCTAAGTGAGATCGAGTTACGCAGGATGACCCATAACTGTATATTCTATGGGTGTGCCTATGTTTCCAGCAATGACGTCAGAGCGGATGGCGTTACAGTACTATAAGAGGAATGCCGGGTACAGGCGATAAACCAGCTAGACCTCGTCCACTAAACCTGACCTACCTAATCCAAAACCCGACGAAACATACGGGTTTCCGCTGTACTCATTCCCAAAGCAGCACTAGGCTACTCAAGAGCTTGCGCTTACGCGGGTCTTATCTGGATGTATACAATATTAAAGTTAATGTTGCTAAGCATTATCAGTATCCTTTGCTGATCGAATCCGACTTCGCCTCTCTATGTTATCTATCGTTTTTTATTGTCGATGATTATTATTATATTAGTACCCGCGCCTTGTTCCGTATTCTACAGTTGGTTACTGATGCGGTTGTTGGTGTCCTTTCCTATGCTTTAGGCAGCTCCTCTCCTGCGCCGAAAGAGTTTCTAGTGGTCTGGATTGAGCCGCAACTTGAGCTAATTTGAGGAGGCCTTGTCACTCTTTTAGTATTTATGTCCTTGCTGTTCCTAGTATTAGAGCTGCACTTATCGGCTTTCACTGATGTCCCTTTCAGTTCCTCCAACGCCATTCTCGTCGCAGCAGTAGTGTCAAGACACGCTGGTGTACAGGATATTACAGTGCCTCTCTGAACCTAATTTGCTGCGGTCAACGAACCCAAACCTCTGCAGTTACTAAACTACCGACAACAGCGTTCCACTGCACAAGGATATTGACCACAAACCTAGCTGACACCAGTACAAAAAGCCTCCATAATCCTCCTGCCATCAAGCAGCTTCTCAGCTAACCACATTGCCTGAGACTCTCCAGACGTCGGAACCGCGATGCATTCCTCTCTTTGACGAGCGAGGAGAGTTCTTCAATACCTCTTCCTACCAGCGCCTCTTTGGTGTGCGGCAGCATTTCCGCCACCTCTAACTACGACCACTCCCGGTATCCCTTTTCGTTGCTCTGACTTTACCAGCGGCGGCAAGTCCGCTCACGCCAGAGCCGGCGATAATATCGTGTGTTCAGTCTACCAAGCTAAGCCACTAATAGACCATAGGTTTCACCAGTGACGGATGTTGGTGGTGTTCAGTGTCACACCACGGTGATGCCACTCATCTCGCGTCTCATTAACTTAGCGGCAGCCAGCCCCGTCGCCTTCTCGTTAATTTCCGGCATCGCGAAAGAAGGAAATGGAAATGAGGAGAGCCCCGTTCTTGCCATTCGAATCTACCCCAGTAACCGGTGATGTTGTTTGCCGTAGACTTGATGTTTCTGTAGGCTTGAATGCACGAGAGACAAAACGTAAAGGAAGGCTTTATTAATACTAGTTAAAACTGAAAAGAGGGAGTGGAACTATCGCGCTTCTCGAGCGCAGTACAGTGCCCAAGATATCTATACTTATATTCCTCATGACGAACTCTTGCGAGGATATCAAATCCTTTTTCGCATAGCAGCAGCAGTGTCAAGACACGCCGGCGTAAAATGCACTGTACAACACCTTTCTAAATATTGATTACTTCAATCAACAAATCCCAATACTTCGCAGTTACAAGATCACTGAAAACTTTACCATGCACAGTTTCAAGCCAAGTCGCATACCAAGAGATAAACAAGCAAACCTACACCTAGCAAGCCATTCAAAGTCTACAAAAGGCCACTCGATACCGCCAACCAATTAATATCCCAATCCGTTTTATCACTGTCAAAATACACGGGCCCATAGAGAAGAGCTAGCAGAAGCCAACATAAAAAGCGTCTACAACACACATCATATCACATCAAAACACCATGCACAAGTAACCTCTTTATTCGAGTATCCAAACCAATAACTCTTATATCAATAATAAGTTCCCCCAAGCCCGAGCCAGGGACAACAACTCCTGCGCAGCCCATCACATCACCTCTGCATATGTACGCAATTAAGATGTCAGAGAATGCTTAGATTAACCAGCTTATCAATGGGACGTTCTAAACTAACATTCTCCTGATTAACGGATACATCCAAATCCAAACCCGCCCCGGCACAGCATACACTCACCACCACCCCGCCACACCAAGCATCACCACCACCATTAGATAGTGCCAAACCCCAGCATCGTCCCACGTCGATGTCTTACTACACCACCAAGTCGCCATTCGCCAATCCCGCTTCTCAGTGAGGACAGCTTCGAAAGCAAAGCATAACTGACTCCAAAAGCACGGCCCGGCCTATGCGTGAGCATGAGAAGAGAACGGTTTCCCTGGCCTCATTTCCAGCGGACGGGTGCTGTAGAGTGCTGTAAAGAGCAGTAGAAGAACGCTCGAACGCTTGAAGATCAGTAGTATTATATACATATATACTAGGTATCTCCTAACCACGCTGGCCAACAAACCTGTCTATTCCTCACATGCTTTCCACGCGGAAACCCCATCGTTAGGTAGCATCTAGAGAAGAAGCTGAAGCAGATCCAACATTTCAAACTCGTCCATGCACAGCACACCAGCACACCAGCACACCAGCGCGCAAGCTGCCACAATTAAGCAGCCACGCAACCGCGTCTACGAGTAAGACCTACCATATGCATGCGCATACACACACAGTCCAAGCCGCAAAGCACGTCTCAACAACCTCATCCTCACGGCCAAACCTACCTCCTCCTCCTCCTCCTCTCTCTTGTCTTCGCCCCTCCCTTTCCCTTTCCCACCACACCCACACCCACACCCACGCCACCACTTCATCCCATCCCATCCCACCTCAGCCGCCGTTATCGCTACCCTACCCTACCCTACCCTCCTACCCTACCACCACACCACCCCAGCACGCCGCCCGCCCACCCCCATAGCCCCCGCCCCCAGACGCAGCCCCGGCCCCGGCCCCCATCCACTAGCACCGATCCCACAGCCCGCCCGCCCGCCCGCCCGCACGCACGCACGCACGCACATACACACAGCAGACGGACAGACGGGCGAGTTTCGTTGCCCGTCCGTACGCTATCGCGCGCGGGCTGAGAAGGCGGTGCAGTGGTGGAGTTGGCGGCGCTCGGGCGGTTATTGGGGAGGTGTGGTTGTGGGTGCGTTCCGGGTTGGATTGGACGGAATATGTGTTGGACAGGTGGAGGTGCTGGGCGGGTGTGGATGGGTGTGGTGGCGAGTGTGCGTCGCTGCTTGCTGCTTGCTGGAAGTGAGTGGGTGGTGAGGACAAAGGCAGGGCAGAGCGGACTGCGTGAGTCGTGGAGAGAGGAAAGGAGGGAGGTCGTAGGGACGTAGGTGGGTGTGCGGGCGGGTAGGTAGGGCGGTATGGAGGTATGTCGTGGGCGAGCGAAGAGAAGGAGAATAAACAAAAGAGAGAACGAAGGAGAGAAAGAGAGGGAGAGAGAAAGGCTCAAGCAGCAAGCAGCGACAAGCAGCACCCGGCCGCCATGTGGGCGTCCAGGACACGGGTCTTGGCGCTCGCCAGCCAGCCAGCCAGCCGGCCGGCCGACGGGGTGGCTAAGGCTGGCCTGTGAAGCTAGCAATCGACCGTTATGGGATGCCTGAACGCCAAACGGCGGCCGTCAACACGCATACGAAGACTCAGTGCTGCTGCCAGCTAGCCAGCTATACGGTTTCGGTCCCCTGCAGGCGACGAAACGCAAACGCCGTCTCTCTCATCAATCTCATGCGGTGCGGTGCTGCCACGTCTCAGACGGCGGGCGACTGGGATGTGCTGGCCGGGAAGTGCTGCCTGTCTTGGAGAGACGGACTGGACTGATGGATGGGTTAGGTAGGTGCTTGTGCTTGGTTGCAATGGAACCTTCTCAATGTTGCTCGTGGGCGTTTGTCGTCGTTAGCTAGTTATTGACGCAGCAGTCCGAAGTTCGTGCGGGCTGCGGTCTCGGAGGAAACGAGTGCATCCGGGCCGGTCGGGTTTGTCGGTCGGACTTGCTTGTCGGTCGCACGAAGAAACGCGACGCCAACGCGCCTGCAGCCTGCACCCGATGCCAATGCCATGCACGGCGGTGCACACCGGCAGCCGCCTGCGCTGTGTTTT